GGACGATGACACGTCTGACAAGACGCCGGACTTCTGGGGCGAAGTACTCAACCCGTCGAGTTGGCCGCACATTTCGCCACCGACGACCCCGCCCCCATCCAACGTCGCCACTGCCGTGTTTGATGAACATAGTGATGGCCACGATCAAGAAGACCTGGGCGTTGCCCCCACGGAAGTCTTCGTCGACGACGAAGGCGATGCGCTGCATGCCACCATGGACGAAGACGACCTTTTCACGACATTTCCGGTTCGACATCGGTACGCCGCGGACAACACAACCGTCGTTGGGTACAAGTCCGTGCCCTTCCACGGTGAGGACGTGCGGCTCTGGCGACAGCAACGACTGGCGCACTTGCTGCCCACCGTGGCCGAGAAAACGGTCGGCCCGTCGGACCAGCTAGGCAAGCGGTTCCATAATCGGAGCAAGACTTCGCTGAAGGCGACTGCCCACGAGATGGACGATGACACGTCTGACAAGACGCCGGACTTCTGGGGCGAAGTACTCAACCCGTCGAGTTGGCCGCTCATTTCGCCACCGACGACCCCGCCCCCATCCAACGTCGCCACTGCCGTGTTTGGTGAACATAGTGATGGCCACGATCAAGAAGACCTGGGCGTTGCCCCCACGGAAGTCTTCGTCGACGACGAAGGCGATGCGCTGCATGCCACCATGGACGAAGACGACCTTTTCACGACATTTCCGGTTCGACATCGGTACGCCGCGGACAACACAACCGTCGTTGGGTACAAGTCCGTGCCCTTCCACGGTGAGGACGTGCGGCTCTGGCGACAGCAACGACTGGCGCACTTGCTGCCCACCGTGGCCGAGAAAACGGTCGGCCCGTCGGACCAGCTAGGCAAGCGGTTCCATAGTCGGAGCAAGACTTCGCCGAAGGCGACTGCCCACGAGATGGACGATGACACGTCTGACAAGACGCCGGACTTCTGGGGCGAAGTACTCAACCCGTCGAGTTGGCCGCTCATTTCGCCACCGACGACCCCGCCCCCATCCAACGTCGCCACTGCCGTGTTTGGTGAACATAGTGATGGCCACGATCATTCCGTCCCCTATGACCTCGCCCCAATCAAACTTACCGTAATACTGTACTTAATGCACTGTTGTTCAGTTGATTTGATGCCCAAGTGTTATATGGGCCTTGCGTTGGGTGCATGCTACAACGATGGATGCTGTGATTATTGATCTTCCTTTGTTGTATTACTACGTAATAGAATTTTTTTTATGGTACTCGTACGATGCTACCTGGACGGAGCAGTCACCAATACAGGTAAGGAAAATAGTATTTATGTTTGTTTCTGTAAAAGAAATGAAAATTATACTTATTTGTGACATGCAACCAGGATTATTTTCTTATTCTAACTTGACACAGAATAAATAATTCTTTCAGCTAGTCGTCCGAATGAATAATTTATTGACAGTGATTAATTCAACAATGTTGTAACCCCTGAATATCGAGCCTTCACAAAGTGCATTATTTATATTATTTCTTGAGGCACATCTGAAGCTGTCCTTGGCGTCCAGCGGATGACTTATTCTTCGACTAGGTCTTTTTTTCAATAAAGAAGTATTATTCCAGTGAATAAAATACTCCGCGTTTTCGAACGGTGCATGGAGTAATGTATTGCCTTGGTATTGAATATCGATCGACCTAGCAGAGATGGGTTGGGTGATGTCACTTGAGTGCAGCGCAGGACACTGCACTGTTGTTGCTACTGCCTTCGGTGGTCGTGTCCCAGCCCACGCGCACATTGCGTATCGCATGCTGCTGCTGGTGGTGTGTGGCGTGCTGCAGTTCCGCTAGTTTCTTCTTTGTATAATACCCCACGGCCACAAGTCCGAGAAGCCCCGACCCGATGCCACAACCCATAATCACGAGTTTCTCGTTGCGTGCCTTGCCTTCGTCCGAAAACAGTTTGGCCACGTCTTTTGCTTGGCTCCCCACGTAGCTCCAAAACACAGAGAATGGTATGCCACAGACGAAGTTGGTCACAACGAACCGACCCGTGGGCACGTGCAGGACACTGAGCATGTAGCACTTGATGGTCAAAGGCATGTACGACAGCTGGGCGCAAAAGAGCAGCTGCCAGCTGCTGGTGGCGTCCGACGCAAACACGAGCGAGATGGCGTGGACAATGGGGTACTTCCGCATCCACACGACGACCACGTCCCCGAGAAAGTAGCGCCCCAGCATAAACGCTAGTGCACTCCCCGTGGTTTTCCCCAGCGTAGAGACCAACGCACCCCCGGCCCAGCCAAAGAGGAACCCGCAAAGCGCTTCCAGCACCGTCGCTGGGATGCCCACCACAACCGACACGACAAACATTCCCGCCATGGCCAATACCCCCAGCGCTACGTGATGCTACACCATAGTCAGAGCTTGACACCACAATCATACTGCAGTACCTCGGTCCATATGGACAAGATTTCCATATAGTTGCCAATGCGCAGGTACCGGATGCACATGGCCACGCCAACCACAACGCACACAAACATTATCATTTTCCACCGCCGCTGGACTCTTGCTCGGAACGAAGGCCGCGACGACGATGCTACTGACGACATTGAAGTCACTACTTTGGTCGACGACGAAGGTGCAGTGGGGAGGTACGGCACATCGGCGTTGCAGATTGGTGGCGCGGTCGCGGTTTCGTTCCCAGGCCGGATCATTGTGGTTGTGTATGGTTTAGACTCATCGAACCTATAGAGAACACCACCGTGGCTAAACATAGCGTTGGTGTTGTGCAGTCGTTGTTGACGTTTCAACATGTCACCAAACACAACAGCACCCACGGTGAAACGATATCTGCCGTGAGCTGCTTGGTTCACTACGTAACGTTAATGGTATTGTTCATTCCCCGCTGAGGTTTAGGTATTTTTTACCGAGGTTATCTCACCGAATTCACAGGGGTAAATCCACCACCCCAAAAGTCACACCTGTATGCCACAAGTCCCCACTATACAAGTACCGCAGAATGCCAATTGTTGCAAGTTACATATTTTTTTGTTTGTGGGAGAATGGCCATAAATCATGATTGAGATATACTGTATTGTAGACAATTTTCAGGGCAATCAACCAATTATCAACAACAACAACATGCTTTGTATTTCGCTGTATACAGCTCATCATATAACGTAAAAAAACAATTTAACTGTAAGATAACTCTTTTGGAGGCGTCGGAGAAGAATGGACATAACTTTTGAGTCTGTTACGATATTTGAGTTTTGAAAAGTAATTATAAAGTGGTGTACCAATTGTTGATGTATTATGTTATCCTATGTGTTGTATGGCTACGAGAATACATATTCACAGGTTAGTTATGTGATTGGCGCTTTTTCAATTTAGGCCCTTGAACCTCATTTTTTATCTTTTGGCGAAAAACGCGATATTTGGCAAAATATTAATTCTCCAAATTTTGGATCCGGAGAGGTAACTTTTCATTTTTTGCCGATTTCTTAGTAATTGCCAAAATATCGATTTTGGCCTTTTTTCTGACATCCAGACCTCACCCTTACAGTTAGTACTAGTATATATAACAGCCTTCAAATTTAGTGTGTTTTGCCCGAAATATAACCAGACCTCCCAAAACTGCGGTGGGATGCATTAAAGTGCCAATTTATGGCGTACATGTGCCAACTAACGACGTACTAGTAGTATCATATATCGACTTTTTTTCTGAATGGCAAGAACTGATAATCGTCGAGTCTCTTTCGAAATCAGCTTGATCCAGAGAATAAAAAATAAGTGACAACTACAGTAAATTCTTCGAATTACTTTGAACCAAATTTTCAAATTATTTATGGTGTGGTCCAGACCCACCCTGGGTGGGTGACCCCAATCTTTGCCCAATTAATATTTCGAAAATTTGGTTCAAAGTAATACGATGAATTTACAGTTAACGTTAGTTGTCACCTACCGTGCGTTTGGGCAAAACGAATGTATTGGTTAATTCTTCCATAACTTTTCCCCCATGTATCACTTTTCAGATCTGAAGGTATATACGAATATAGGAGAAATCAGTTCATCGGGTGAGGGTTTTATAATCAATAAAACGGGATATTAAAATAGATATCGTTGTTTCAAATTTCGCTCCTGCCATACATTCTGATCAAATTAATATACTCAGAACAGCGATATTTAAATAAAAGTTAGTTCTGCAATCAGGCCATAATTTATAATAATACGAGCGGGCTGAAAGTCAAGTACTACTGTACCGTAGTGGATTTTCTCTTTGCAAGTTTTTAAAATTTCGAGCTATTTTATTTTCAATACGTGCCAATCCGACCCAAGCAAATGCTTGGATTCCCCATGTCGCGAAGGCACATAAGTTTATCACCATTCATATTTAGCCTTCAAAACTGGGGATTCATCATCTTTACAGTTAATTCACAGACGAAGCGATTAAGAAAAAAAAGAGCTAAATCCGACCAGTATTTTAAACCAAAAGATTCGTTTTGCCCAAACGCACGGTATGTTTTACTGTCTGGATCAAGCTGATTTGAATTTTCAGAATAGAAGTCCCTTGAACCGCTTTGCTATTTTTTGGCAAATGAACGCGAAATTCGGTAAAATATTGAATTCTCCAAATTTTGGATCCAGACAGGTAACTTTCATAGAAATTGCCAAAATATCCGAGGCTTTTGGCCTTTTCTTTGACATCCCGACTCACCCTAAGCATTTGTACACATAATTATCAGAAATATCCAGGAGAGGTGACGGTCCGTCCAAATTCGTCGAAAATGCCCGAAATTATTACACGTCGATTGAAGGTCTGGTTATAAAGGCCAGTTTTACACAGTTGTCCAGTGTACAAATGGGTTATACTGTAATTACCTACAAAATCACTCGCAACACACATCGTGTGGATTATAGAGGGACCAAATTAGAGGTAAATGCTCTTACGTTATGTTTGAAGAGTCCTACAACTCGCAATTGTTAGGACACTTGTACACCGTTCACCATGTCGTCGTCAATACCGCCTTATCAGGTTCATTCCAAGTGGAGTGCCAGTATATGAGTACCCCAGACAGCCTACCAGGTAGGTGGCGCGGACGATGTGGAACGAGCACGACCAGAACCCCAAAAACACTACATTCTCAACAATTTGATGCAGTACACTGTATACTGGCACTCCACTTGGAATGAACCTAATAAGGTGGTATTGACGACGATATCGTGAACGGTGTACAAGTGTGTCGTAGGCAATTGCAAGTTGTTACTACAGTCAGCAAACATGCATGTATAGCAAGAGGGGCTTAGCCGACAGGCAGATGTCGCCCAACCTGGTCGAAAATAGAACAGGCGGCAAGTTTTGGATCTTGATGGGCCAATCAAATCATGGGATGAAACCCACCTGTAATAAAATGCACTTTTCCATGTACAGCATACGATATGTCATATAAATCGAACCGGTTATTATATTTTCAAATGCCGATACAAATGTCAAGCTAAATCCCATGTCCCTGGTTTCTCGTTGAGTCGTCGCAGCATATTGGCATTGCGCGAAGAACATGGCATCCACTGCGATTATGATGGACGGAAGCATGGACGTAGATGCCGCCGTGGAAAGCCTTCGAGCGCTGAAATTGGGTAGCGACATGACAGGTCACAGTCGGAGCAAAGGAGGCGGGTTTGACGAAGTGCACGACCATGCCGTCCGCGTTCGCGAGCACTACGAAGCGCTGATGGTAGACCAAGCCAAGCGATCGCACATGGTCGCCCAAGAGAACTTGCAGCTCCGATCGATGTTAGGGACGATGGAGAACCAGAATCAAGCGCTTCGGCAAACGGTGCATGCGTTGGAGGGGTACCGAGACAAGGCGGAGGCGCAACAGGCACAAATTGACCAGTTGCAGAACGAAATGCGGACGCTGAAGCAATCCAACTACTCGTTGCAGGTGTATCTCCAACAAGCCGATCACTCAAGAAGCATGGGTCATCTACCTCGACCACCTGATGTATATTAAGTTCGTAACAATGAAGGGGTTTTCGTTCAATCTTCGGAATGAGGCGATGTTGGTGCGCGGCTCATTGGCGGGCGAGCAAGCGATCGACATGCTTCCAAGAGTCTGCACGAAGCATCAACTCACATTCGTTTCGTTGTGGACGAACATTCAGTACCGTGTTTGCGACTGCATCTGCGCCGAGAATACTGACGCCGCCATGCGAAGGTCGTCCAGAAGAGCATTCACCTGGTGCATGCAATGAATAATGAACGGTCTAACTATCAAGTGCGCACCTCCATCTCCACTTCGGTCACCTACTCTTTTGAAAATGAGGAGTTGCATTCGTCAAGGGGTTGAGATATAATGTACCTTGCCTTCGATGTCCAAGAGGGCTTGAATTGGCAAGTCCACGACAGGTTGCGGGGTAGTGTTGTGTTGTCTGCATCAAGGCATGAAGATGAGGGCGGGTATACAGTAGTTGGATGCCGCTCCCTAACGACGTACGCTTTGTCACCGCGCCTGTTCTGGGAGGTTGCAGACGTTGCATTGGTAGGCATCCACACCGCCTTCGAATGCGAAGATCGAATCAATGAACGTGGGCTACAAGGACGACGTCTCATGCGACGATATCTGCAACTGTATCACAAGTGGATGCGCGCTACATGAAGGCATTCGCTGTGGACGGCTTGTGCAGCGGCAGTTCGCGCGGCGGAATGCGATTTGCGTTTGGCACCACCATTTCAAACAATCTCGACGTCAAAGAATTTTCGTTAATTATATAAATATCTACCATTTTGTATGCCTCATAAGGGCAAACCGTTGGCAGGTAAAAAATACTTCAGTACTACTGGTACAATACACTACAAAAAAAGCCACTTCAAAGCACTGGAGAAGGTTGGAGGGTGATGATGCTGCCAACGCGACTGCTGATGCTGCCGCATGTCCGCTTGCTTCGCTCGCAAGTCCATCGATGTGGAGCCTTCCCTGTGTCCATGCAGCATCTGCCAACTGACAACCGCATGCACATGGCACGATTTTTTGCGACATCCAAATCCCCGTCCACTGCTGTCGGAAGTGCCCCACGCCGCCCCAAGCTGCTCGGCAACAATGACGATTTCAACCCACGCAGCCCTAGCGACGTTCCCAGCGATGTCTTGTACGAGTACAACCGCAACGTAAGTGTTGTATGCGTGCATATGTCCAATCCCGATCGACGATGACCGGGACCTTGTTCTAGCGCTACTTTACGATGATCTCGTCCGCGTCCTTGCTTCAAATCGCGTTTTGGTCGTGGCTCAAGGGCACCGAGGCCACTCTTCCAGGTAATTACGTCCGTCCACGTCTTTCAATCACCCGACGCGCTTGTTGCAGCCGCGCCCGTTGCGCTCCCGGCCGCGGCGTTGGACCCGAGCTTCCTCTCCATCGTAACCAACGAAGCATGGTCGACCGTTGGGTTGGGGTCGAGTGTTATCATGGCGGTAGTCGTGGTCTTCTTTTCCCAGGTACGCCCTTCCCATCATTTATCCTGTCGGCCGTTCATTGCTTTCGCAGCGCTCCATCTCGCGAATCTCGGTCATTTCCGGCGGCAGCAAGCTCCGCCTCACGACTCAAAAGTTCCTTGGCGTACGTGGAAACCCCCCCTTCGCTTCCTTCCTTCCATCTTGTGCATCATCACCATTATCATGTAGGGCATGTCGCCGCCGCTGGACTTCCCCGTCGCCCAACTGCGCGCCGCGTCCATCTCGGACAAGTACATTTCCGTCAAAGTCGGGTCCGAACTCGGGTTTTACCTCATCGATTTGGATGGCCAGTTTTACAACCGCGCTAAGCTGGACCAGTTGCTCCAGGTACCGCTTGCCCTGGGGGCGGCGAACGCCGCAGCAACAACCCGTGCGTCGTCCACTCGGCCTAAGCCCAAAGAACCATTCCGTGCGCCTATTCGTACCGACCTTCCCAAGACCGAATGGAAGAAAAAGTAAATAAACAAGTTATTACCAGTATTAATAATTATACCGGTAGATAGTATTGTGGATTCGGTACAAATTTCCAGACCTACCGGTAGTCGAATCACGAACTATCGCCGCTATTGGCTATTTTAATCCAATTTTGAGTAGATTTGATTGGCTCTTAACAGAAATAGACAAGTATATTCAACCAATCAGAACTCGAGTGTGATTCAAATTTGGCGCGAATACTTTGCAAGTTTATATTGTCGATTTGACACAAATTTGGGGAGGGGTGCAATCGAATCGCGCCGACCAAACCGATCCACAATCGATCTGATTGGTTGAATTTCATTGACAGGGCTTTGATTGGTTAATACTGTTGAGCTCATCTGAAGTAGCCAATCAAATCGATTTAAATTTCAACGAGAAACCACGCCACAACACGAAAGCACAATACAGCGAGTTCATAATAATCGTAATTCTACTCGACTTTCATAGTGTAGTACAAGCGACACAACACACATGGGGAATGTTCCCAATGGATAATTTCGTGCGAGTTTTCCTTAACGTCGTTGAAAGTTCTCATAGAGGGCGTCGAGTTGGTGCTGGGTGTGCATTTTCCGCGCACTTTCCACGAGTTTGCTGTGGCTACCGCCCAGCTCTTTGAGCGCATGGAGCAAACCAGTCGTGTCATCTTGGGCGAGGAGAAGCGTGCGGCTGTCGTGCAACATGGCGACGCACAGCATGTCGACGAATGCAAAATCCGTGGGAGAAAGCCCAAAGATGGAATCCCAAATCACCCACACTTGGTACATGGGAAATTCCCTCGCGAGGAGGAGGCGGAGCCACCGGAGCAAGTACACTTCTGGGGGAATGTGAAACGAGTGCAGATGTGCTGCGAGCACCGGGTCCACTCGGCGCAGGAGGACGTTGTGGATGTGGTCGCATTGCGCTTGAAGGAGGGACGAGTCGTCCCGACGTGGGGAAAATTCTCCACGACGGTCACAAGACGTGGCGTGCGGACAAAACATGGGGGCCATGCGTTCCATCACTTGTTCAAACAAGGCAAACGCGTCGTGCTCGAGGAAGCGGTCGTCCGTGAGGGTCGCCAAGAGCGTAGCCACGGCATGTTTGCAGTTCCTAGAGGGAATATTCCCATTCGATACGGTGTCAATGTTGGGATATTTCCTCGTCGCGTGGCAGCATGAAAGGTCGGACGTACGGCGTGCACGTGGCTTTAATCGCTGCGAAGGGTCGCATCTGCAGCAAACCGGTCGCGTCCAGCACATTTGTCGTGTCGACGTCCACCATATCCACATGCACATACGAGTCTTCTTCGCTTTGGTCGTCGATGGATACTTCTATATGAGAGTGATACATTTATAACCGTGTCGCGCATGTGTGGTCAAACCGGCAACGTCACGGCTGGGACTACTCCATCGTTCCACATGCAACAAGTACACGAGGACGGCCAAGAGCTCGCCCATGCCCTACGGACCACCAAAAACCATATTAGAACCAGTTCAAGCCACCACAGCCATCCATTATTCCAAAGATATGCCCATTACAACAAACGTACTTGATTGTATGAGATTGTGGGATGTTCCGCGGCGTACACGAGCAATACATGCAGCAACGTGCGTTGAATGCGGTCGTTCTGGAAGAACTGCATGGTACTTCTCGTTCGACGCACGTCTTTCCAGATCATATGCGCGACTTCATCCTCTGATCGTTTCTCGGTTGGATGGTCGTCCAAGTCGTTGGTCACGAACGACAACGCCTCGTCATACATCACAACGGGATGTCTCATTGAGTCCTACATGTATCATCCTTCTTGATCCATACACAAACAACACATGGCCACAAACAAATGACAGCATGTAGTAGCCTACACAGTACCTCGTCGTGCCCACACAAGCCCCTTGGCACATGCTTGGCGCGAAGCTGGTCGTAACGACGCCGGTGTCGTCTTGTGATGTCCACCCACTCCCCCAACGGCGCGTCCATGGGCAGACACCCCAACCAGAGCCGCCATGTGATGTTGCGCAAGCATGACCATGACAAGGCCCCACGCGCCGCCTGGCTGCGGATGTCCGTCTCGTCTGATCGCACGTACATCTCGAGGAATTCGTCGACGCGGGTGCTCATGTCGCGGGATTGGATCTCTTGGACTGTGGAGGTGGTGATGTGGCTCGACAGCCGCCGACGTCGACTACCGCCATCGCCGATGTTGGAGGATGCAGGGGGATCGGCATGCGATGGAAACGGCGCATCCATGGCCGCCGCTTCCAGCGTGGTGCAAATGAGATCGACCCATTCTTCCGCGTCATGGGGTGTGTCTGCGCACAAGTACCACGTCTGTTCGAGGGTAATGACGCAAAATACTTCTTCCATGAGGTCGACGCTGGCACTGTGCAGACGGATCATGCCCGTGGGGAGCTTGTCTGCAGTACAGCACCGCATGTTAGGCAACGACGGTGAGCAGGTGTAGTCAGTATACCTGCGGCATCCTTATAGTAGTAGAGTGTGAGATTGGTGACATCAGTGCCGACAAGAGCGACGATGTACGATTCCCACTTTCGCTGCATGCCTTGGACTTCGAGGAGCAACCGGCCAGCTCTTAGTCGAGGGAGATTCGCGGCCATCGATGACGCTGCTGTTGGTGTGGCCGCGCGGGATTCGCTGGACACAAGCGACGCGATGGAGGAAGAGGACAAGGATGCAGTCGCTGTCTTGATCATGCGACTGAGAAGTGTCACCGTGTCAGCTTCGTTGGCTGTTGATGCCGCCTTCATGGTGCTAGCGTTTCGACAATTTACTTGGACAAAGATTCGAGTCCTAATCTGATGGACCAATGAAAGTTTCAATTGTTTCATCAATAGATTTGATTGGCTGATTTAGTCCACCAGAATCGTTGTGGGATCGCGACTGTTGGCAACATATCGCAATGAAGTACTACCTGGCGGACCAGCTAGGTACCTTCCGCAGCGCCGCGTCAGAAGATGACATGAACCAATCGTTGGCCCTCATGTGTGTGCTTCTACTCGCTGCTGACGAGCGCACAGAATTTGCCGCCTCTGACGGTGCCACCGCCCTAGGAGACCACTTGATTAGGCTGTGTCACGAACAAGCCGCTGAGAGATACAGGTGGAAGGGGTCCAAAGCATTTGGTTTCAACGTGTCCGAGAAAGGATTGCACCAACTTGTGCGATTTCTCCTTGTTTCCATCGTTCATGCATCCTTGGAAGCTTCCATGGCTGCACAATTCTGCAGCGCCAACCTACCCCAGCTTCTGTTCGACGAGTTCGTCGTTTCGACCGAGAACTTCATTGCCGCTGAAGACATGGGGCCTAATCAAGACACCGACAGCGTCAATGCAACCCCCACAACGCCACCATCGGAGGTTTCATTGCGTATCCTGGCACTGGAAGGCCTGCGGAACCTCTGCTACGCAGTAAAATAGCATTTACATGTTCAGATGCTGACATGATACGCTACCTTATTCCGCTAGGACTGGCCACGTCCTCAGCTAAATAATTCGGCATTAGACACATTGTGGCAGATGTTACTCGCTACATCCACCGACTCTCCGACCTCCGCCAACGATAATGCAGATCAGCGCGATGGCACCATAGCCGGCCAATTGGCGTGCGACATCTTGAGTAACCTTGCATCCCATGCCCCAAGAGCATCCCACGCGACCAAGGACCGTGTGTCGTCCCTCCTGACGCTTCTTATATGCACCCACGACGCAAAACAATCGAGTTCTACACTCGATGGAAGGAATCTGTGTCCACAACTGGTGGCGATGGCCGACTTGGCGGCGAATTTGGCCAGAGATACCGAGTACTCGATCGTGCTCATATGTTCACTGGAACAACTCAAGCCAAGAACTCGAGCCAACACGTCGAGCCTGGCGTTCCTCACGCAGTGGGCGGACAACGTCAACGAAGACCCAGGCCTCCGCGCCAGCTTGCGTAGCCTGAATCACAACCTCGCGTGGACTGACGTCAGCACCAAAGTATGCGTCCAGAAGCTTGCGGCGTCTACGTTCTTGGAGAGGTTTCTGCATGTGCATGCCAATCAATGACGACACTTGTACAATGTCGATACACCTCCATGACGTGCTACAGTAGCTCGTACACCGTTGCTTCGTCACACTGTCACTGACTGCTGTCGGTAGATATTTCCCTTAACCAAGTACATATACGAATATACTTCCTCGATCCTCGATGGACATAAGCGGTACACACACTTGTGCTTTGCTTGTTTCTGCGTTGCAACTGATATAAAAATGGATCGACACGCGTTGTATTACAGTATCTTCATACAAGCACTTTACTAATCCCGTGGAAATTCATCGCTGCATACAAAGTAAATCCACTACTTCATCGTCAATTTCTAAGACAGACCCCATTTAAGGAAATTTGGAGGTTTCACTTTGGCAACTAAATGGGCGAGAAATGGACATTTCCTCAGCGTTCAATGTGAAGGCTGATCGGAATTGCGTGGCCTTCCACCATCATATTGTTATGCTGTACGTCGTCATGGTTTTCCTGCAATTATGCATTGGAGCCAACGAATGAGCCGTAGAATGCGTCACACTCGCAGGTAGGTACTACTACCAACTACAGTAGGTAGTAATTGTACACATACCTAGTACTTCCGCGTCCACATGGTCTGATCCACGCCGCAATCGCTTATGGTTTGCGTATACTAGTAAGCTTAGAAAGCCCCAAACTACTAGTAGTACACGGAGTACAGTATTACGTTGTACTTGGAATGATCTTCGTGTTCTGAGGAGCGCCACTTGTGAACTTTCTGGACTTTGCTGCAACACTGCGGACACTTGCGCACTTATTACCTAGTATGCCAGAAGCCCCAGACACCCGACTTTCGAGCGTGTCGACCCAGCCCAGCATTGAGCAGTCTCTGCGGGTGTGGTTGGATGCGCATGCACACCACTTTCACAGACCCACGGCCATCGATCTCACAAACGAGATCGAAAGGCGGCTTGGTCCACAGCACAACCGACGACACAAAAAGCGACGAATGCTGTGGATGATGGCCTGTTCTGCCATGGTCCTCACCGGTGCCGGCATGGCAGTCGCGATCGTCGTGGGTCGAACCGTGGCTGGCACATCGACCTCCGAGACCATCATTAGCCCAGTCCATGTGACCACCGCCACCCACATGCCGTTGCCGACGACGACGGGGACATTATCAGTGGCGGAGGCAGGCCATCATGGGGCTCGACTCGCGACTGTGAGCATGAGTCCAACGCCATTGACCAGTTCGACCAAAGGCGACGACATAATGCAGAACGTTACGGGGCTCTCGTTCGACCAAGATGTTGGCTCGGTGATGCCAGTGACCAGCAGTGCACAGAGTAGTGGTGACGAAATGGACGAGAAAGACCACTCGGACGAGAATGATGACCCAGACGTGGAAGACGACCAAGATGTGGAAGTTGACGAGGAGGATGAGGATGGAGATGCCGACTACATGATGGTGGCAGGTCGAATGATGATCTTGCAAGGCGGAGAAGCGAGTGGCGGCGGCATTTGTCCGCTAGAAGACGGCGGCACGACCTTTACAGACCAAGGAACGTTCAACGGCACCACTCTCATGCACCATGTCAACGTGATGCGCGATGCACTCGGACTGCCGCGCGTGAGATGGAGCGAGGCGGAAACTTTTGCGGTGCAAGATTGGGTTGCTACGGCAAACACGTCGTGCCTGTCGACGGCGTCGCCCATGGAACCTCCACCCATCAACTTTCTCCTGCTGGATGAGACAACTTTTGCAAATGCTTCGTTCCGGTACCCAATCAAGGAATGGTACCTTGCGGGGAACTCGCATTGGAACTACACGAGCAACGCTTGCGTCGACGGCATGTACGACGTGGACTGCTACCGGTTGAGGTATCTGGTCGGATCGTCGGCAATGGGGTGCGACGTGTCGTGTGCTTGTCCTGGAGAAGACCCAAAGCTACGCCGACTCTGGTGCTCCTTCGACCTGCCTGAAGGGTTCGCCGACAACTCCACCATTCCCGCCCCAATCAACCTGAAGACCATGGATCTTACCTTGCTTGAAGCGAACGACCTTGGGCCAGCCGCAAGTGGCCAAAGCGATGACAACTCCATCCGCTTCCCATCTGATTCCTAGTTCTTCGTCAAACAGTATAAAAATTCAAAATATGTCACACTTTCTATGATAAACTGATACCGCCTAATCATTGGACAAAATACAAGCCTAAATCCTCCATTTAAGCTAATCAGCGTTTGTACGTGTTGTGACCTTTGGCGATCCCAAGATTTGAAAGTAGCGCGTCGATGCGCTCCTGTAGGTGATCGTCATAGATCGAAAAGGGAGATAGCTCCACACATTTCTTCAACATGGGTGCGGAAGCAATGCTCGAGGAAGATGCGAGGGAGGACTGGATCAGTCGTGGGTTCAACATGAACGACTTCAGCTTGAAGAAAATGACAGGTCCGTAAAACTATCGTTCCCTGCCTCGTTACTCCATCCTCATCCTCCTTGACAGCGATATGGGACACGGAAGAGAAAGAAGACGTGAAGCGAGCGAAGAAGTTGAAAGTGCTCCAGCACAAGCACAAACCATTGACGGAAGACATCAAGCGCGTGGTGACCAAGGTTTCGTCCGAGCTGGAACACGCGTCCGAGACCGTTCGGGAGACGTTGCGGCAATTCGAGCCCGTGATCCTCCGCGACCGTCGGTGGCTAAGGGAACACGTTGCGGTGATCTATCGTATGGACGACGAATGCACCAAGTACAAGCTCATGAAGGTGACGAACCACGCCAAGTTCATGGCCACGGCCAAGACAGAGCAAGCCAAGAACGTCGAGCGGCATGGACGCATCGAGCACAAGGCGCCACTTCTTCGACGGCTTCGGGAGATGAAAGAAGAAGCGGACAAGCGCGACCGCGCCCAAGCGACCGAGGAACTCGAGGTCTGTGTCGTTTCGGACTTTCCCTTTTTCTCACAGTATCTTTGTTCTATGTTGGATCAAGTAGACAAAGTGGAAGTACTGGCACGACCTGGAGATAGAAGAGAGGGATCGGTACGTGTCCCAGACACAAACGCACAACGACGCGCATATTGCGTACAAGCGCAAGATGAACATGCAGTACTGGAAGTCCAAGTTGAAGGACGGGCGACGCGAGGCGGTGGCCGTCCGCGCCGCGCTCGACCGCTCGCGCGCAATGGATGTGCAGGTAATAGTAACCTTTCCATGACATATACAACGACAAAAAATCGCGCTGGGGGATTTCGATTCAACTACGCTACAAGATCGATCGCAAGGGGAGTGTCATGTGTGATCGATTAGCATGCCGTTCAAGACGTGGTGGACGGATTGGACATGTGGGAAGCGGAAGAAGGCGCGAGTGCCGCGTACGGCACGCTGCGGCGCCAGACCGAGTCGTCACTGGGTGTGTTTGGGGGGGCGTTGTTCAGTTCGTTAGACGACGATGATGAGTTGGACCCACCACCAGAACTTGGTACTCCATTGTTGTTGATCTCTGTCTCAACCACTAAACACTCTGGTTGGTATATGCACCTTAACAGACAGCCACACGATTGCATTTCCCACAGCGGGGCCATTCGACACGCGACGAGAACTGCAGCGAGTAGAGTTGATGGATCACCAGTCCAACCTACGCGCTTTGGAAGAAAAGATGGATCGATTGCGGGTTCTAAAGGCCAACGCTGTGGACGACCGCAAGTGTATCGTAGACAAAAAGGCGGGGGTTGTTCGGGGGCTGAGTCAAGCCAAGGCGGCTCACCGCGAGGTGCTCGTCGGTCTCGCGGGGCCCCCGAGGAGGGAGCCGTCGGACGCCGACCGGCTGTATATCCACTCGTTGCTGAAACAGGCCGCGGATCTATCGGCGGAGCTCAAGGAGCTGTCGATTCGAGACCGACTGCTCACGGAACGGTTGACGGGGTGGACGGAAGAAGAGCACGCGGTGGCAGAGCAACTGGCGCATGCGGCCGGCGTCGTCGGGGCAATGGAAGCGGCGGTCGCCGACATGGACAAGGCCCAGAACGACCTGCCCATGGTTGTGGGGCGATCCATCGCCCATACAGTTGACCAGACAATGACGTGGCAGCACCAACACATGTTGCCACGGGAAACATTGGCAGCAGTGACCCAACGAACCAAGCTGGAGCTGCTCAAGGCGGCCGCGATGCCAGCATTTCAACTGTACGAACAAGCGCGGTACCTTGGACTCGAGTCGTGGAAGGTGCGTAGGTTGGTTGGTATATTTATTACTAGTTTCATTATTACGTTTAGAAAGTAGCTACCTACATCACTGTTGGACACGTTGTGCGCTGAATGATTCGTTCTTCACCACATGGCTATATGTGACGTGGTTGGTTGTAGCTGTCCAAGCAAAAGATGGTGGATCAAGCCGAGCTGGAGCTTACGGTGCACCGTCTAGCCAAGCTCCAAGACACCCTAACCAAGCAGCAGTCGCTCAACCAGCGGTCCGACGTGATTAACGCGCTACAAAACTTTCATGTACATCCGAGACGTCTGACACATGATGTTGATATTCAAACGTGGGTAGAACCACCGGCAGCCCCTACATGCTGTCAAGAAAATCTCAACGGGATTGCTCGACTGGTGGAAATCGCGCGATGTGTCGACGTCGTTAGGCGTGTCGTTGGCACGAGACGATGCCACGTGGATCGGACTGGACCCAGGCAACCGCCGAGGCATTTTGCGCGGCGCCGTGCTCCTCCCTACTCACGCGTTATGGAAACTTCGATTCGAGGTATTGTGATTTATTCGCTATAAAGTTCCAAAATTCGCCTGGTTTGTTGAATCAATATGGAATCACGCCGGAGTTCTGATTGGTTGAATATACTTGTCCTTTCGAGCCAATCAAATCCACTCAAAAATGGATTAGCCAATCGCGTCGATTCGTGATTTGATTCGGCGGCGAGGTCAATCGATTCGACGTGGTCTGGAAATTCGTATCGAATATACCACAATAGAATCATACAATATTATAACAAGGAGGTACATCGAATGATATCATATGATGCATCGATTGACGGATATGTATTGCTTCAGAAGAGTAGACGTTTGGTTTGAAAGCACGTTTACCCATTCTATTTTCAATCTTTTTTTTTTTTAATAGAATTCGATTTTATTACTATTTTTTAATTATTTTCTAAAATATTATCTATATAATTGTTTTTAGAATGTTTTCGTCCCCATTTCATTATTCTTTATTAATTTTTTTAAGCTTAGTCGGTCGTTCGTGCTTTAGCCAGTAAAAGGAGGACATTATAGGAGTTATAGATGGATGGCTCTGATGCTTGATCACGCGTCGGCTCATATCCACGTGTGTGTGTGTGTGACACTGTGTAGATTGCCATGGTAAAGCCTCGAGATATGGACGTGGACGCTGCGCTGTTTACGCCTGAGGACCGCGTGACGGTCAGTTTCGGGCTTACGAGCGGCACCGTGGGCCAAATCGGATCGTTTTCTGCCATCGACGACAACGGCCGCGTACGTACTTCTTTGTGTACCTATGGAATCCCCCATCCAATTGTATATATATATATTCCATGGCCACATCATCACAAGAAAGATCGAACGTCGTTGACATGTGTGTTTTAGCTGTGTGGAGCCCACTCGATCGTGCAAGACTACGTCGGCTCGCGGCTGTCGTATTGCATCGAGTTTTTCCGGAGTTCGACGAGCACCATGTCGCACACAGTTGTTGTGCTGGGGCTGGCGGTCGCGGGAACATTCACTCAAGACGACTACACCGCCGCCGATGCGAATCCTCAAAGTGCCGCTGTCGTCCACCATGCGGGGGGGGGTTCGCATGTGCTGTCCGAGTATGTAAAAATGCTGCGAGTGCAGGCACAGCAGGGTAACCACCGGTGTGCGTCGCTCTTGGAGGAGCTCATCAAGGTCGAGCTCAGCGACGCCGAGGTGTGGGACTCGAACGTTCTGCACGGACACGCCCAGCGATTTCCCCGGCTCACGTACGCCACACAATTGCGGCAAGCCATCCAGCACGAAGTACACTCACGACTCCCATTACAGTGTGCTGCTACTGCTCTAATACTCGCTTGTATGTTGATGGAAAGTAGATTTCCAAGGCGATTCAACACGATATCAATAAACGAAGGATGGTGGCAGCAGTTGGAGACTTGTCCGTTCCCCGTGGATCTTGTCATATTCAGCAGCTTCAAGGAATACATGATCACGATGACATGGACGATCGAGATGGAATAGAGCAGTTCAAAGCGCCTATTTCTCGATTGGACCAATCCATGTATGTACACTGAACCGTCGTATGTTAGCCCAAATTTGATTCTTTGCCAACTCTATCGATCGATCGATTCCTGTTGAATGGAAAAATCGACCTCGAGTGTCACACTAATTTCATTCACACACACACTATTTCGATGTGGAATTGGTCGAAGAGTGGGTTTGATTGGCTGCTTGATTTGTGTTGTAGTTTTGATTGGTCGATCTTTGATTGTGTGCCGATTTGGTGCGCATTGAGCATCCCACTTGAATTCTATGTATCGACTCTTGCAAATATCTTGTCCAACACCATGTCCTTGGCATATAGTAGTATATCACGATGCTTGCAATGGTTTATATGGCGTGCAATCAAACGTTATGAACGAAAGGTGTCTTGGATGGTATATATATATATATTCTAGGCTGAACTACCGGCACCGCAAGAGCGAACATATTGAAGTGGCCACGTCGACTGCGCGGGGAATGGTTGGCCAGCGCGTGCAGTTACATGGACAGGACGACAGATGGCAGCAAGGCATCATATTGGGGATGCGCGTCGAGTGGAAAGAAGGCGGGACAAAGCTGGACATTTCGCACCAGGTACAGATCACAACAGACCCCATATATATTCCCAATTGTGTCATATAATGTACTTGGCAGGTGACTGTGGCGTCCAATACATCCACTTGGGTGAATCTAGCCCAGGTACATATAACGAACGACACGGTGTACTGTAGTATATATATATATATATATATACTCGGCATACTTGAATGATTGGTTTATAGCAAAAGAATGTGTTGGTGGCCAACGACATGGCCCCGTTGGTCGTGCTCGAGCGCCGCGAGAAGCAAGTCCAAGATGAGAAATGGAAGGAGATGGTAGCCCAGAAACTAAACGCTCCCACGAAATCATTGCTGGAAATTGAGCAAGAATACACGAGTATCAACACGCACGAAGACGCCCAATTTGAAAACGCACAAGCACTCGACTTGATTCGCCGACAAAAGGCGGTGACACATGACGCCCAGCGTACTTGCACGTATGACCCGCAAGTCGTGTCGCTCTTGGAGGTATGGTGGCCATAGGATTCGTGTGGTTCGTTTACAGTTGGCTGGTGTTTGTATGGTGATTTTTCACAGCCAAAACTTCTCTATTTTCGATCGAGACTACTTTTGTATTGACTACTTTTGTATATAAAAAGTAGTCGTGGTTAGACGTGTTGTGAAGTCACATACGATGTTGATACTTTGGTCCAAGAGAGGATTTGATTGGGTACTTGATTCTTGTTGTGGGTTTTGATTGGTCGATAGATTGTCTGTGGATTTGGGGCTGCTCATTCGATTGATCGACTGGACAATATATTGTGCTTTCGAGTGAAATTTCGTGTTGTGGCGTGGTTTCTCATTGGAATTTAAATCGATTGGATTGGCTACGTCAGATGAGCTCAAAATTATTAGCCAATCAAAACCTTCTCAATGAAAGAAATTCAACCAATCAGATCGACTGTGGATCGTTTTAGTCGGCGCGAAATTCGATTGCACCCCAAATTTGTAATATTAAATCGACAATATATTATTGTCTTTCTTTTACCCCAAATTTGGTTGCCTTTTGATTCTTTGCCAAACGTCAAAAATTGGAGCAAATCTTTAAAATTTATCTAAAAATATTAATTAATGCCTAGGCATCCCCTCTAAAAAAATTAATAAGAAATATTATCAAAAAATTATTCGTATCGATGATATATCGATTCTTGGACTTTTGTAACGATCGTCCAGTGTCACACTCATTTCATTCACACACTACAGTAATTCGATGCTCCAGTGGCCGAAAAGTAGATAATTTGATTGGCCAGTTGATTCGTGTTGTGGGTTTTGATTGGTCGATCTTGGATTGTGTACCGATTTGGTGATTCTGCTCATTGAGCACCCAAAGTCTAGGATACTTCCAAGTACTATATAAACTGTACTACTTACTAACTAAAAAAACCCTATGGCCATGTAGGTCGAAGCCAGGCGGTTGATGCAAAGTGTAAACCACCCAAATGTCATCACGTTCGACGTGGCGCTGCACACGTTAAAGTCGAATTATATTCGACAAACAGTGGACGCGCGCATGGAATTCATCAAAAAGACATGGGCGCGCAAGAACAAGCGCCGCCTCGACAAGCGAAAGGCCGACCGCGACCAGCGCAAACGCAAATATGACCACAGCCACCAGCAAGTACTGGAATTGACCAAGGACGAACGACTGGAGCAGGAGAATGCCGCCAAACAGCAGCAGGCCGACGCCCACGGAGCGGCCCTGCGCGCGGCATTGCAAATTCCCCACTTCCACCTTGCCGTGGCCCCTGAACCCCCCTGTGCTCATCGGTATGTATGATACCAACCACATACTTCTGATGCATTGTTCCTGTGTATACATTTTGGGTTCAGTTTTGAATCACAACGTGGTCAAGTGTCTGGAAATATCGGTACTACTTCAAACTAGGCCTCAACCATAGTATTACCCCTTGCTTAAAAATAGACATGAAATTCCACGTCGTTGTGATTATGATGACGAGAAAAATTGCAAGAGCAGCACGAAATCGATCGACCAATCAAAATCCAGAACACACTATTCAAGTGACCAATCAAATATAGTAGTGCTCTTCAACCATTGCATATCGAATGTTAGTGTATGAATGAAAGTAGTGTACAGGGCGTCACATTTTACACGTGTACAACACTTAGTGCATTTATTGAATCAGCACAAAACTGTGAATTTTGGTTCCATATATCATGGATTTGTAATATTGTGCTTTCGAGTGAAATTTCGTGTTGTGGTTTCTGGTTGGAATTTAAATCGATTTGATTGGCTACTTCAGATGAGCTCAAAATTATTAACCAATCAAAACATTCTCAATGAAATTCAACAACCAATCAGATCGATTGTGGATCGGTTTGCGCGATTCGATTGCACCCCAAATTTGTATATCAAATCGACAATACAATCAACTATGTGTATGTAGCGAATTGAAGCAGTGGGGAGCCAAGTACGACAAGGGCGTCAAGTGCAAACAATGTGGCAAAGAAATGAGTCGGTCATTTGACGATGTGGACGCGGCGCGCGGGGCCGACCCGGCCTTGGACCACGACGTGGAAATGCATCGGCTGTTTGAAGCGAGTTTTCGGTTTGAAAATGCAGAGCATTTGCGACGAGTGGAAGATGAGCGCGTCCGGTTGGAGAAAGAAGCGCGCCAAGTGCAGCTGGCCGAAGTGCACTCGTACGATTCGACGCACATGCAGGGTACGTACCCTATATATATATATTTATATATTGCCATTGTATTCAAAATATTTGGACTTTGTGGTGATTCGCCAAATTCATCGATCGATTTTCTTTGTACTGAAGTTTATATGTAAAAAGGTGTGTCCGGAGGTGTTTGGAATCACACTAATTTCATGCACACACTAATTCTATGTTGGTGACCGTTTCCTACAATCTGATTGGCTCAATTCTTCTTCTGCCGATGATTCTTTTTTACATTTAATTTGGTTGTGTCGATTCATTCTCCATGTCGCTCCAGTGTAGAATAATTTACAAAACAATATATAGATATAATATATATATATATATATAGTGTATATATATCCATGGATCGAACAAACAGATTGTGCCATTTGATAATTCATGTGATATTAATATGTATATATATTAAACATATATATATATATTGCGTAGCCATTGACGCGCTCAACTTTCGCCACGTGATGGGACGAAACGTGGACGACCGCGACGGCCCCCGCAACGACCGCGATAGACACGTGGCAGCGTATCGTGACGAGTTGAGTTTCTTTGGTCGTGTCAACCAATATCGGTACCGGCTTCGGATTCTGCAAGATTTACGCGGAGCCGCCTACAAGGAGCGGCTGATTGAGGTACACATTTCATGTTGATCGGGTACTTGTTGTGTGACTTGGCTACTAGTGTATGGTCGTCTTTCTTTTACTCTAAATTTAGACTGTTTGAATTTGCCAAATCTATCTATCGATCGATTCTTTGTACTGAATTTTGTAAAGTGTATTGTCCTGTGGTGATTGATATCACACTAATTGAAGTCACACACTAATTAAACATGGATGATGGTTTCCTGCAATCTGATATTGGGTCAATAAATCCTTCTGTCCATGATATATTCTTGTGTCCATTACATATTGGTTGTGTTGTCGATGTTCATTCTCCATGTCAAATCCAGTTTAGAAAAATATATACAACCCAACCATATACGTAACATGGTGGAACTACTTATTGTAGGTAGAGTCACTCAGTCAATTGCAAGTGGAGCGCAGCACGACGACTCAAGTGGTCGCTATAGTTCAAGTCGAACAAGAACGGGCGCGGCAACTGCTCACAGATCGAAAGATCGCCATCGACACGTACAATGCGTCTGCCAAGCACTTGCAAGAATGCCTTGTCGAGAAAACCGTAAGACTATTATTTCTATGCATTATATTTAGATCCACAACACATGTGGAGATAGTTGGCGTTTCGGGCGCGGGAAGGCGTCGAGGAAGAAGCTAAGCTCGCCATGCTGCATGCTGCCGCGCTAGAACGCACCACTGCCAACATGCGTCTGCTGTGGGATGCCGCCCATACCGATCGGCAGCAAGTTAAGGAATCCATTCAGACGCTGAAAGGGCAGCTGGAAGGCGCCATGGAAGGTCGACATGCGCTCGGTGATCGGCTCTTGGCGCTGCAATACCGAAAAAAACGCACCAAGGTATCAATCACCATCCATCCATTCCTATGCTAAAACACCCCGAGAATGCCCTTTCGCAACTAGTACTCATTTCACCTGATTAACATAATGTACGTAGGTGCACACCCCGTACGGCGTGGGTGTAGTGCAGTACTTTCGAGAATCAGACAACATTCTTGCAATTCGACTGAGGACATGGAAGGCCACCGTGTACATGTCGTTGGTGCACTTTACCCAGGCCGCGAAAGCGATGCAGCAACGGGAGCTCTTGGCAATGCGAAGCGTGGAAGTCGAGTGCAAAGCGTTTGTTAGTGCCGAGCGACGCCGTGAAGCGTCCGAGTGCCACGTCATGGAAACGGAAGAAGCACTGTGTCGAGAAATCACGGTGTGGGCCCAACAAATGGCGGCCAAGCAAGGCCACATCCGCGTCGCCGTGACCAAAGTGGAAGTGCAGACCCAAGTCCGGATGGCGCTCCGAGACGCCAAGCGGCGGTTCCGCACCGAGGCCGAGGCCGACGCCGTCCGCGCGCATGCCGCCAAGATCCGCCTCGTTCGACCCAAGCTCAAGACGATGCCCAAGAAGCTGGCTCCTCAACGCTCCACCAGCATGGCCAAAATGACGGCGGCGATGGCGATCACATCAACCAACAATGCCACCACGAATTCCGCGACCCCAGCAGCACTCCCAAAGGTCTCAAAACAGTCGACATTGGACAAGACACGCGTGGCGAGGGCCGCGTTGAAGCGCATTCTCATGGCTCATGCAGAAGCGGCCGTGTTGACCACGGAACGAGGCCTTGTCGCAGAATACGACCGCGTCCACCACGACCAGCTGGTCACGACGGTTGGTAGTCAGTCCCCTTGTAAAAAACGGGGTGATAACGACGTCTTGATATCGCAACGTAGGTCGGGAATGAATGTGTGGCGAGTCTGCTGCACGAGTTGCTTGTCGACGTGTCCGCCGAAACGATTCAAGAGGGCGTGGTAGGTGCGAAAACCATGGAACTGCAGTCGACCGTCGTCCATTCTCGGCAGCATCCACATGTACAAGTCCACGTGCATGTGGCTCTGCGACGCCAAGTCGTTGGGCGCAAAATGCAGTTGGAGGTGGTCAAGCGGACGTGGGCGCGGCAACTGGAGCGGCTGCGGTGCGTCCAGGCCGAGGTGCGTCGACGGAATGACATGGAGCGGCGGGCAGAAGAAGAACGCAAGCGGCTGGAGGCGGTGTGCAAGGAGATGGCGCGGGAGGACTTGGCGTGTCGAAGGTTTTACCGCCAAGAAAAGCGTGTTATGATGGTGGAATCTCGACACATGCAGTTGGCCGAGGTAGAGTATATATATATATGAGTACAACATTGAATAGATAACGAGGACACTTGTATAGATGGAAATGAGAGAGTATATGCGACAGCGTGAACTGCAGTTGATGCTTGAAAAGTACAACACGTTGGATGGGGATGACAAGAATAAGGAAGGTAGCAAGGTCGCCCGACGTTTGCAGATCAAAAAAGGCAAGCGGGAAAAGCATCGTCTGGCCGACGAATGGGCTGCCATCAAACTCGAAGACGATTTGGCCATGGCTGTACGTACGATCTGGCTTGTTCGATATGAATATATATATATAGTCTTTCTAAGGCGATTTGGCCATGGCTGTACGTACGTATATGATATGTTTACTACGTCGATCTTGCTTGTTCGATACGAATATATATAATATATATATATATAGTCTTTCTTTTACCCAAAGTTTGGACTTTAGTGCGTATTCTTTGCCAAATCTATCAAACGATTCCTTGCACTGTATGTACAAGTCGTTCGATGTTACACAAATTTCAGTCACACACTAGGATATTGGTCGAAGAGTGAATTTGATTGGCTACTTGATTCATGTGTTGGGTTTTGATTGGTCGATCTTTATTGTCGATTTGGTTTGTCTGCTCATTCGATTGAGAACCCCACTCGAATTTCGAATCGAGTTGACAATATATATATATATATATTATATATTGTACACCTAATTTCATGTGATTATGGCATGTAGATCCGAGAAGTGTGGCTGCAGGAGCGACGGGAGCAAGAGCTGGAGCAACAACAGCTCGAGTTTATGCTGCAGCAAGCCGAGTTCCAAGAGTCCGATACGGAAAGCGACCTCGAGTTTGAAGACAACGAAGACATCGACGACGACGACGGGGATCAGCGCCAGCCGGTGATGGATGCCGTCGCGGCGAGAGCCAAGGAGCGGATGGTTCACTTGAATCCCAAAGCCAGAGCTATCCTGGAGCAACAGCTGGAGCGCCGGGCGACAGCCAAGCTCATTGCAGCCAAGAAGCGGCACGACTTTGCGCATCGGCTGAACGAAGAGTACATGGTGGCGGCGGCCGAAACCATGTTTGCCGTGCGTCGATCTTGTATATTCCGTCTTCTGAGCCTCATATGTAGGTGGCCAGCGCAGATCTGACCATTGTCCAAATGCAAGAAAAGTTGGCGTACTTGCAGCGGTTGGACAGCGACGCCGATCAAATCAAGAGGATGCAACTGGATCTAAAGCGAAACCAGCAACAAGCCAAAGAAATCACCGACGGCGCGCGGCGGAAACACGAGTATGCTGTTGAGTGCCTTGCACGCTGTGCTGCTGCCGAGGTCTTTATATATATATATATATATTCTCGAAACATGATATATATATATATATACGATACTATTAGGCGGCGCTGGAATTGGCCATCGCGCGAGAAAAACGAGATGAAAAGGTTATGCACAAAACGATCAAAGACACGGCGTATATGGACTCGAGCGTACTGCACAAACGGTGCCAGCGCTTTCTTACGGATTATTTGGCCAAGGAATTGTACAAGTATGTGTTGGAAACATATATATATATATATTGTATACTTATTATATATTGTGTACTTATATATATATATATATATATATTGTATACTTATATATACTTAAACATATATATTGTATTATATATACTTATATATATATACTTAAATATATATATTGTATTATATATACTTATATATATATTGTATGCTTATATATATATATATATATATATATACTGACATATTATTTCCTATGACCACGTCAAAAAATAGGAAATATTTCCAAACGCTGGTGCACTTGATCGTATTGCGGACGTTTACAGTGTCGACAGAGCGGCATATGCTGTCTCTGGGGGAACGAATTCAGTCTCTGGACAGGGAAAGCGCCGACAAAACGGCGCAAGTCGCGCGGCTGTGGCGCAAGCACATGCGTGCGAGTCGCATGCGTCTGTGGTACGGTTGTCCTAGGTTTTGCATGTATATAATATATATATATTATTGTGTGTTCGAATCAAAATTACCTGTGGTTTATAAACACCTGAGTTTTACGAACTGCATCGTTGTGAATATTCATTCGTATTAGCCAATCCTATTGCGACCTTCCTTCTTTTTATCCAATCGTTTTCTTCGTTGGTGGATTTCTTGGCGATTTCAACAATCCCCACACCGAAAATGGCCAACTTTGTGGGCGTGTAGCTCAATATAATTTGTATTTATATAATATATCCACTTCTAGTCGTGCTGAGCTGGGGCGGGTGCTATTTCGAAAGCAGCGGAAGGAAGCGCTCAAGCGGGCGTTTCAAGGTACTTGTGTGTCGCCTCGGGGTTGTCGTAATATTACCGTGCTTGTGATGTTTGTGATTTGTAGGATGGATCAACGTGTGGCACCATTCATCGGTGGTTCGCAATGCATATGACCTGCGGTACAGTCTAGCCCGCCAAGACCAGCGCGTGGCTGCCCTAGACGCCATGCATGTACGTACTGGCACCCGTCTTACGAGCTTGGAACCTTGATCCCTTGATATGATATTCTCCGTTTACCCAGCATTTGAACTGTTAGTGCTTATTCACCAAATTATCATCGATCGATCCTTCGTTGTCCTGACTTTTGAATGTAAAACGGTGTCCTGGGGTGCTCGGTATCACACTAATTGAAGTCATACACTAATTCGACGTTGATCATGGTTTCCTGCAATTTTGATTGGCTGAATTCTTCTGCCAAATTCATTCTCCATGTTGCTCCAGTTTCGAACAAACACATCAACGGTTCTAGGCGTCGGGGTCCCATCTCAAGGCCAACCACGAAGCATCCCCGTCTCAAACGACTTTGCACAAGTTTCAGCATCGGTGGATCCAATGTCGCCTGTGCAAGACCATGTACACCATACATATATATATACCTTGTTCATTTTGCCATATCCTGACCTATGGCCATATACGTCCTGCCCACAACTCTTTAGGTACTCGGACGCGCAAAACACTCGGTTTTCGTGTGTGTACCACCCTGCCAAGTACGACCGCGCATGTGTCAAGTCGTGTCCGTCGCGGCGAGGCGAGCCACTCACGGCCAACTGCATGCTCCACCGCGCCATGCGATGGCTGTGCTGCGACGAAACGGACGAGGTACGAGACGTCTGCTACGTTCAAATAAAAAAAAACGAATGGTCAGGGGGCGTTTGGAAGCACGGGGTGCAAACGGAGGTTTCATGTGCCAGTGCGGGACGACCCGGTAGTGGCCGCCAACGTCCAAGTGGCCGAAGCGCAGGAAAAGGTCAAGATGGACACAATAAACGACGAATTGGTCGAGCTGGAAGGGAAGAGCGTGGCTCGGACGGTGCTGCGTCAAGTACGAGATCGACTGCAAGATATCCAGGACGACTTGGCGACAAAGCGCGCCAAGGCGGCGCGATACGATCATTTCCACACGACTTTGTGAACCATTCTAGTTCATATACGGTGTATATATATATATATATACAAATCAAATCCTTTATTTAAATCGAAAAAATCACTACTCGTTGTGGACGGATGGCAGCTACGACAATATACTTGGCTTGGTTTATGTGGTCGTGACGGTGGGGGGGGGAGACGTGTCCAATGCTTTGAAAACCGCCAGTAGCTCGTCCGTGGTCGTGCCGCATGCGTCCGCTAAGCTGGTCAAGTGCCTACGAAAGTAAGTCACATGACAACTCGAACGCTTAAATCTGCTCAGCATGCATGTATATATTATATATATATAAATATATACATGGTTGGTTTGTTGGCCTTCCATCATATTTATATATGATGGATATATATGTCAAATATATATATATATAATATATATATGATGTATATATATAATATATATATGATGTATATATATATCATATAAATATATATGATGGATATATATGTGATGTATATATGTATCATATAAATATATATGATGGATATATATATATACATATATGATGGGGATATATATCATATATATATATGATGGAAGGCCAACAAGCAAACGAACATGCCAAGCAAACCCGAAAACCAACCCCAACACCATATAAAAGTCGATATCAAGTGTACAATGATTGGTCGTACTTGAAGCTGATTTGGTACGTGGATGAGTCGGGTGGGTGGTACAGGATATGATGCGGATGAAAGTCAAACTCGTCGTGGTCGCCGGACGTCCGCTCCTCCTGCTCCAATATCGCCACCACCTACGTGTATATATATATATATATATTTCCACCTCGTGATATTCACGCCATCGCACATTGCAATACTTCACCAAACAAGTACCTACCACCGCTTGGATTTCGTCGGGCGTCATGTGACGTGGTGTGTGCAATGTCGCCCACGCGTGTGCAAACTCGTGATCATTTTGCTTTGGATCGTACTGGGCTAAAAACGAATGGTCCAGCGCTTGAGCTGCCGTGAGTCGACTAGCGGGGTCCTTTGCCAGCAACGCCTCGATAAACTCGCGACACGATGGCGAGAACGTCGTCGCAGGCACCAACGGCATGGTTTCATTCACGATCGAGTCTTCAAGCCCAAAGAACCCATCTTCCCTTGCAAACGGATACCTGCCAAGGGATAACGTGAGCAGGACGATGCCCACCGCCCACACATCGCTCGGATGCGAGTAGTTTCCGCCCGTGATGCGCTCGGGCGACATGTACATGAGCGTGCCCTGGAACTCGGAAAAGTACGATTTCGACTTGCTCAACGTCGCCGCCAGCCCAAAGTCGGCAATCTAATAAGATACATCAAAACCCCATCGCATGTTTTCGAGCTATGTGATTGGATGGAATGTACTTTGAAGTCGCCTTTCGAGTTCATGAGAATGTTGGCCGGCTTAATGTCTCGGTGGAGCATCCTACCGACGACTCTTGTGAGTATTATCATTCATATATACAAGTCGAAAGCCAAGCAGTGAGTTAGTACGTTGTAGTAGTACTAGTAGTACTGTACTAGTATTAGTAGAAGATAATTGATGATATCGAAACATGTAGATGGACGAGACCGGTGCAAATGCATGTGATGCAGCGCTTTCATGGTGCAATATGCAATGTGTTTGAGCACAGGTTCTGGCACTGTTGTGTTGGCATCTACGAAATCCTATACACAACATATGCATTGGATGTTTTGATAGGTCATTGTGATGTGTATGTCCAGTACCTGCAACGTGCCGGCATTCATGTACTCCATCGCGATGGACACGCTGGCCTTCTCGGGCGTGGCATACGCGCCGTAGAACGACACCATGTCGTGGCACGCATGGACGTTGCCAATGTGCAGCTTCCTGTGGAACAACTTGCCGAGAAACTCGAGCGATTTGTGGGTCGCTTCGTCCGCCAGCGGCACGAGGTTGTCGTGCAGCGCGTGCAGTTCGTGGGTGATCATGGCATAGTCTTCTTCGTGGAACAGCTGCACTTCTTTGATCGCGATGAGCTTCAACGTCGGGACAAAGCAGCCTAGATACACCGTTCCCCCAGCCCCTTTGCCCAGTTTCTTGAGACGACCAACGTCGGTCGCCAAGTCGGCGGGACCATCGCCGCGCACGGCTTCCAAGATCGTGTCGGGGTTGTTGATCGGGCACTTTTTCCCTCGATTCTCCTTCTTCAGGTTCGCGAACGCCCCATGCGGGAGTGTCGGTTTGGGCAATCCGTCCTCTTTGACGTCTGTATCGACGTCCTTGGAGGAAAGCTGGATGATCAGCTTGAGTGGTTTGGGACGGTGCGGACTCGTTGTGGGAGACGCGGTGATAGGCGCAGCAGGTGGAGAAGCAAGAGGGGCTGGGAGCGTCGACGGACGATGCTCTTCTACCGTCATCGTCAACGCAGGCGGTGGCCCTTTCGTGTCATAAGGGGCCGTGGGTGGCGAAGGGGCGATGGGAAGTTGCATGTCCATGGGCGATGACTGTATGGTTGCACCTGTGCAAGATACAAATCCGGATACCAGACTGTCGAATCCGGATAAAGATCGTTCTACGGAAAGTCCATTTGTGCAACATGGACAACCGTCCGCTGTACGGCCGCGAGAACGCGAGCGATACGTGCTTGTACGGGTCTGTCGTTGGATTGGGGGACGCATCGTCGCGTGCACAGCACTCTCGCTCGGGTCATCGAGGAGGAGCATGCTTGACGATGGAGCTCATGGACGACTCGGACGATGATGGCGACCTGCGGGCATATCCGCCAACGCTATCGCCAGTGGACTGGGCTTTGACCCCAGTGACGACGACAGAGTTTCCTTTGCCCGCGGAGAAAGGTACCCAGAGCACGACGCCTCGCGAGAAACTCCGCGTTCGACGGCGCAGTCGCTCGGATTCGTCGACGACCCCAGAAAAGCCGACAATGTCCCCCACATCGTCATCAAGTGACCTCTGCTGCGACGAATGCGAAGTGACCACGGCAATGGCTAGGGTGTACTGTTTGGACTGTGATTTGAACTATTGCACAGGTTGTGACGACTTGCGGCATCGCAAAGGCAAGCTTGCGCTTCATGAACGCACGTCATTGCCGTCGCCCCCGCCCGTCGAGATCCCAGTTGCGCCTCTCACGACAGAGCAATGGACTGCCGACGATGTTGCCAACTGGCTCGGATCTCTTGACCTCCAGGTATACGAGACTGCCTTCCAGCAGAAGAACATCGACGGCTCGACCCTACTTGCGCTGCCGCCGCACGAATTGGATGCGCTGGACCAGCTTTCCCAAGGGTCCTCCCGGGGCCACAAGAAGAAACTCCAGAGAGAGATCCAACGCCTCAAGGACGACGAGACCCAGAAACGTGGTCAGCAACGCCAGCTACCATCCTCCTCCCAATTGGGTGCCCACAGTCAGTTGCGAGTGACCGTGGACTCGGCGTTGTTGCAGCGACGCCGTCGGAGCGATATGGCTTCTCCTGTCACCGCCCTTCGAGCCAAGTAACTTGAGACCTCTCACACTGCGGCGATGATTCACGCTTTACATTGTCATATTGAATCGATAGAATCCATCAAGGACAAGAAGACAAGGGGCGGGTGGTGCGCCGTAATAGCACCGCCACCACAGCCTTCGTCAAACCCACCTTGGACATCACTTCCGGTAATAAATCTGAATACTCTTTCATGGTCTTACACCAATATATATATATATATATATAAGTAATTTAGATATATATGCACAATAAAGAGTGGCTTTCATAACGTATTTTGACTTTGATTAACTTCTTTAATTAACTTACCAGTTTCTACAGTCGTGGGCAAAGTGACGAGGAACTGACACGTGGGGATTTGCGTAGAGCCTGTCCCGTCGTATACCAAGCGTCGTCCGGTACACCAGCAGTTTTACTTTTTGTTGGAAATATGGAAATCTGAATATATATTTATATATCTGCAGATATTTGATAGTATATAATATAGGCGTAAAAGGTGGACAAATAGAATCCGTGTCTAGCACATACCCTGTCACACAAACACACTTGTGAACGAAATAGGTGGCAAGTTTGGGGCTAGATCTCAACCAAATTGCCCCCAAGAGCGTCACGACGTCGTTTGACTTTACCGCCGAAGGCAAGTTGCAGTCCCACGGGTTTGAAATCAACGTACGAACGATACAGTATTCAGTATATTGTCCTCCTAAGTGTGTGCTTACTCAAATGGTTCATCTCCAGTGTGTATCTCTTCATATATGGGAATATGGAGTGTGATGGGTGTGTGAATTAGACGGATGGCATCACGAGCATCCCGTTTCAAACGGGGGGCAAACCGTCGACGACCCTGCCCATGCTGCTGTTTGGCACGAAGGAATCGCTCGTGCTCCTCAACGAACTCGGCCATGGCGCCAGTGGAAAAGTATACAAGGCGTTGTACCTGCCCACGTTTAAACTCGTTGCCGTCAAGGTAGATTTATCTATATATATATATATGGAAGTGCCTCTTTTCTCCAATAATACTCCTCAACGCATACCCCCACGTTGATGTTTCTGGTAGTGGATGGATAATTGTTCTCATCATCAATATATATTTATAGAATTGTTCTTTCATCACATACATATATATTTATATAATTGTTTTTCATCATATAATATATATATATGACCACGATGGTACTACTGACTATATCTATGTAAATGTGGAGGCACTTTTCTCGAATAGCACCCTGTAGTTGTCTTATTATATATATATATATTCGGGGTTTCATCATGAATCATGTCTATATCTGTCTATGACGACGATGGTACGGACTAGATCATTCGCGTGTATGACCAAAAGAAGCGCCACCAAATGCTTCGGGAGTTGAAGTCCCTGTACGCCAACTTTGTGTCACTTCACGAAACGGCAGGTGGGCCGTAATCATCCAATTGGGGACGGATCTGACTCTAGTGGCCAGGGAGGGGCGCCGCGTGCCAGGACCTGGTCATGTTTTACGACGCATTTACCAACCCAGAGATCGGGTCCGTGTCGATCGTGCTCGAGTACATGGACGGCGGGTCGCTCGAGGTACCTACCACCTTGCTCGTCCATTTCTCTTTATTTCGTAATCTTATACTAGCTTGTATATTTTGTATTCTATTGGACCAACTGTAAATTGGAAGATGTGCACGGCGTAGGATATTTTACACTCGCGAACCCCGTGCGCTGAACCGACCATCGCAGCCATCGCTACAAGCGTTCTCAAGGTCAGATCAATTGTTGCGATGACGTAGTAATACTAGTAGTAGTAGAACTAGGGTAGTACGTTATGCCAACCGTACTATGATTCCAGTGGACAATGGGTTTTTGATGGCATCGTCTGTTGCACACATGTGTTGATATGTAGGGCCTAGCATTCCTGCATGAAAACCACCAACTCCACCGCGACATCAAGCTGAGCAACATCCTTGTCAACAAGCAGGGCCGAGTCAAGATATCCGACTTTGGCATTTCCAGAGACTTGGAAAGCACATTGGCCGAAGCGATGACGTTCACCGGCACCTTATTGTATGTTTAATCCACAACATATGAGCATCGGACGATCGAATGAACGGCATTCTAGGTACATGGCCCCTGAACGCATCAGCGGCGGCACGTACTCGTACCCGTCCGACATTTGGCAAGTGTGAATAAATTGTATTGTATGGGAGGGACTTTGTGAATCACAAGAATATGAATTCGTTTCAATGGGAGTTTGCTGTTACGATATTTTTCCGATATAGGCAAACGCTCCGTATAAAGATTTCTAATATGGAAACAAGTATCTGTGTCTCTCATGTTTGTTTGGGTATTATTTTTTGCAGGTCGTTTGGGTTGGCTATCATGGCGTGCGCGATTGGCAAGCTGCCAATGCCGACGGAAGACGGGTACTGGGGCGTGGTGCACGCCGTCCAAGAGCAGCCGTCCCCTTGCTTGAAGGACTATGGCGCCGATTTTTCACCCGATTTGTGTGACTTTCTCGACCAAGTACGTCGCTAGTCCCTCCAAATACTGACATGCCGTGACCTTGTAGTGCTTGTGCAAAGACCCATTGAAACGACCGTCTGCGTCCATCTTGCTGTGTCATCCATTCATTCAGCGCTACGCTGGCGCGACAATCTCTCACTCCGTAACCTCCATCATGCTCGACTGAATCCATCTCTCGATGGTGATAACTAGAGATTGTTGGGCAGGTGCTCAAGCAGCCTGCGCACGTAGTCGACTACGCGGCCGAGTTGGCGTACGTTGCAGACAAAACCCGAGCTTGGATGGCCACGCATGACCGAAATCGACTGGTCACACTCATGGACACCCCCGCGAGGCGGTAACTATAACGTTTTCAAAACCCATTGTGATTGAATGGATCTTTTCACGCTGGGGTTGATGTGTGTGTAGAGTGCAGGCTTTGAAAGCGTTCGCGGCGCAGATGCACGTGTCATATGAGGCAGTCGAAGCTGCGTTTTCGTTCTTCTAACGGGGGAGAAGTGTTCTTCTAACGGGGGAGAAGCGTGTAAATGATTCCCGCCGCTAGGAAGCATCAGCGCGACCCCTCCACGACACTTTATAGACAACGAACGAACTTCCCTTCATCTCGTTCCAAGCACCGTTGAAGAAGGACACATTGTAGATAGGCGTGCGTGTCTGGTAACACTTCAAAAATAATATATCATTTTCTGGCAAAAGGGGTTAAACCAAAAATATCATTTTCGAAATGGAGGTAAAGGGCCCGTCTGGCGACCTGAAATATTACAATATTCTGGCCCAAACGCCATTTTGGGGTCAAATTCAATAAATGTGATGAGATTGGAACATGTATTGCTTGAAGAGTTTTAACCCAAATCCAATATTTCCGCGTGGGATTTACTCGTTGAATAGGTCCAAAATGCCATAACGTTATTACAAAAATGAACCTTTTACCTCCATTTTGAAAATAGCATTTTTGGTTTAGGGTGCGTCTGGTAACATTTCAAAAATAATATTCCAATTTCTCGCAAAATATAATCAACCAAAATGCCATTTTCAAAATGAAAGTAAAAGGTCCAATATTTTGTAATATGGCGTTTTGGACGTATTCAATTCAACGAGAAAATCCCACGCGGACGTATTTATTGGATTTGGGTTAAAACTCTGCAAGCAAGACACGTTTCGATTTTGATCAGATTTGTTGAATTCGCCCCCAAAATAGCGTTTCGGGCCTGAAAATTGTAATATTTCCGGTTACCAGACGCACCCTTATCCAATTTTGCCATAAAATGGAATATTATTTTTGAAAAGTTACCAGACGGGCCCTTATAGAATTCGGCCCCAAAATGGCGTTTTGGGCCAGAATATTACAATATTCAAGGTTGCCAGACGGGCCCTAAGCACGTCCACCATCGATCGCGTTGGAGATCATGACATCAATCAATTAACATAATATATATCTATAATTGTGTGCATTTTCCATTCACGTTACTGGTTCCTGTGCTGTTGGTTCTACTACAAGTACTTCCTATCTCTATTACGTGTCGATCTAGGCGGCCTCATACACTGTATCAGTTTGCAATTTCAACGCGGTCTTTTCAGTGGTGGGGCTCACACGCAAGGCCGACTCGGATGCCGACGACGTCAGCTCAACCAACGTCTTGCTGCCGTGCTTCATGTAGTACAGCGTGATGGCGCCCAAGATGGCACTGACAGCGGGTACGACGCAGTACGCGAGTCGCACAAACTCGCCGTCTTCCGCCGTGGACGACGGAAACTGCACTTGAATGGCTTCTCGTTGGTTCTGGATCCACAGCACCGCGATGCCGTTGGAGATTTTGTCAGTGAAACTCATGGCGCCGTACACGAACGCGCCGCTTTCGCAGCTGTCGCCGACGAGATCGCCTTCGAGACACACGGACGTGACCATGACGATCGAGTTGCCGAGTCCGAGCAGCACCGACAAGAGGTAGATCCACCCGCTGGTTTCTGGCGTGAGCAGCCACGTGAGGCCCAGCGACACTGACACGAGCGCCGCCCCCGCCGCGAACGTGCCTTCCCGACCCATCTTTTCGTTCATCCACCGCAGCAGAAACGTGGCGAGGAAGCTAAACACTCTGGTGTGAGATACAGTCACGAGAGAATATAGAGGTTCGGTATGTACCCCGACACGTAGACGAGCAGCGGCACGATCGCGATGGACGTGGCCGTCATGTGCAATGTGACAGTGAGCAGGAACGGGATGTACACCTGCGTGACGTTGACCGTGAGCCGCGTGCACATGTACACCATGCCCACTTCGTAGAACATGCCGACGTGGAACCAGTCGGACCACGTCAGCGCCGTCGTGTCCAACGGCACGATCGGCAGGTCGGCTTCGAACGAGAGCGCGTTGGGGCCGCGGTTCATGGCTTCTGCGGCCGACGGACTGGAGCCCCGTCGACGGCCGACGGAAGATGGCGGCGTTGTGACCTTCTTGACGACTTCGTCCGTTCCGAGGAGGAACCAAGCGGTGCAGATGCCACCCACCACCAGCGACACGGTCGTGAGCAGGGTAAACTTGTACGCGTCGGGGACTTCTAGTGGCGCCACGTCATGGAGCAAGAACAGAAACACGACAAACACGAGCACGTTGGAGAGGATCGTAAACGCATACCGCGTGCTGTTGAGCACACATCGAACGTTGTCGTTGGTCGTGAGTTCAGGCACCTGCGACGCCGTTAGGTTCGTCATAAAAAATAAATAGAACTGTGACAAGTTTGTGTTTGGGTACATACCATGGCCATGTGCGACACTTGGACGGCGGCCCACCCGACGTTGAAGAGACTCGCGCTGACGCAGTAGTACACGACCAGCGTGAGTCGGGACGGCGACGCGTCAAATAGCTGCGGCACACACGTCCCGAATACGCCGTAGAAACACACGACGACGAGGACGGACCCGCCGGTGAGCCACGTCTTGCGACGGCCAAACCCGATAGATGGAAACCCCGTCGACTTGTCCGAGAGCACGCCCACCAGCGGCGTCGCGAGGCCGTCGGCGATCTGACCGGAGAACATGACGAGCGCGCTGTCCACGGGCGACAGGCCGGCCACCGCGTTGAGAAATACGAGCAGGTACGAGAACCACGACGACGCACACATGTCGTTCAGGACATGGCCCACGGCGTACGCTAAGATCTTGGCGTATGTCCACGTCTGTGACCTGGGCGACACTCCATCCTTGATCGAGGATGTCGACGGACAAGGAGGAATCTCCATGGGAATGACGTAGGCTCAACACTGGAAAAGTCAAAGTGGCCAACAGTCTTGGGGGTTTCGCCGATGCACTTAGTACTAGTATTTGTATACTGAAACCAAATTGAGCTTTGGCATCTTGATTGGGGTCATGTCGCAGTCGGGGCCAACCAACCACCGGATTAGAAAGTTCAACGCTACGGCCGTTTTGATTGGATGCCTCTTGACTGATATCCGTGGAATATCCTCAAGGTGCACCAGTACTTGGAAAAGGGAGTTTGGAGCATCAAATAAGGATGGATTTGGCTGTTGAAGTTGTGGCCGGATCCGTGGTATGCTTTGATCAAGATTAAATCCAATGGTTTTGTGAGATTGCATAAGAATTCGTTTACTTCGTCACGTCATCACATTCAATCGTGCGTGTGGTCACCTTGGTACAGATATTGCGACGAAATCACATTCATCATGGATGGTGAAGTTATGTATTGCCGCCTCCTATGAACGTTAATGAGAGCTGCGACCAGAGCAAGGATACAGTACTTGCTGTGGTACATGGCTCTACAGTACCGTACAGTGTAGGCTGCACACACATGAAGGTGTTACGTGATCACAAGTCTACGTTGTAGTGGGGCCGCATCATTTTCAGGCGGCAACAACAAATTCCCAGCACACAACACTTGATGAATCAATACAACCTACAGGTATCAGTGCTTTTGACTTTCGATCCATACAATGTGCAATTTCGCCGCCACTTTCGTGATTCCTCCAAACGCACGTTATGTATTTCCCCCATAACGTTACTAGTAAATCTGTACCGGTATACCCTGAGCCTCCATCCTACTTCGAAGTACGTCCTTACAGTTAGCGGTGTACTTTGAGGTGGATGTTGCTACATTTCCCGGTACTACTGTACCGGTACATAGTACGATTAATCGTAGTATATTTCTTCCTTTTGAAGGGTTTATTATTGTACCGTACTCCTGTGAGATCATTGGTCCGAAATGTGTGCCAGTACAGATTTGAAGTTTCGTTTTGATGACTTTTTCGTCATGTTAACCACAAGAAGAAACCAAGGTGGATGGATGCTTGTCGCCGCCACCAATTCGCGTCGCCACGTACTGTGAGCCCACATAAACACGCATATACTGTACTACTGTACCACCAAATGCAATTCAACCTACTGTCCACTCGTCAACGCAAAGAAAAGCATGTACACTCATGGCCATAATTCAGGGAACGCTCACGGCTAGAAATCAAGGCAGTGTTGGTAGGGACTCAAGGCATCTACAGTGTATCAGTGAGTTAAGCGGTGAATCAAGTGAATGCAAAATAGAAAAGCCATCGAAATCGCCATGTCCAAGTTGACGCTATAACTGTACTCATTTGTGACAATCCTATCCGGTGTCCGGTTAACGCGACCAGGTGGATCATGAATTGGGGTCTTTCGTATCTCCAACACACATCTGCTTTCATCGCGTCGACCACCTCCGCCATGAAAGAGACCGAGGGATCCCCACGCGGCATGAACCATTGGCCTAGTACCAAGATCTTGGCGTACGCCGTGGGCCATGTCCTGAACGACATGTGTGCGTCGTCGTGGTTCTCGTACCTGCTCGTATTTCTCAACGCGGTGGCCGGCCTGTCGCCCGTGGACAGCGCGCTCGTCATGTTCTCCGGTCAGATCGCCGACGGCCTCGCGACGCCGCTGGTGGGCGTGCTCTCGGACAAGTCGACGGGGTTTCCATCTATCGGGTTTGGCCGTCGCAAGACGTGGCTCACCGGCGGGTCCGTCCTCGTCGTCGTGTGTTTCTACGGCGTATTCGGGACGTGTGTGCCGCAGCTATTTGACGCGTCGCCGTCCCGACTCACGCTGGTCGTGTACTACTGCGTCAGCGCGAGTCTCTTCAACGTCGGGTGGGCCGCCGTCCAAGTGTCGCACATGGCCATGGTATGTACCCAAACACAAACTTGTCACAGTTCTATTTATTTTTTATGACGAACCTAACGGCGTCGCAGGTGCCTGAACTCACGACCAACGACAACGTTCGATGTGTGCTCAACAGCACGCGGTATGCGTTTACGATCCTCTCCAACGTGCTCGTGTTTGTCGTGTTTCTGTTCTTGCTCCATGACGTGGCGCCACTAGAAGTCCCCGACGCGTACAAGTTTACCCTGCTCACGACCGTGTCGCTGGTGGTGGGTGGCATCTGCACCGCTTGGTTCCTCCTCGGAACGGACGAAGTCGTCAAGAAGGTCACAACGCCGCCATCTTCCGTCGGCCGTCGACGGGGCTCCAGTCCGTCGGCCGCAGAAGCCATGAACCGCGGCCCCAACGCGCTCTCGTTCGAAGCCGACCTGCCGATCGTGCCGTTGGACACGACGGCGCTGACGTGGTCCGACTGGTTCCACGTCGGCATGTTCTACGAAGTGGGCATGGTGTACATGTGCACGCGGCTCACGGTCAACGTCACGCAGGTGTACATCCCGTTCCTGCTCACTGTCACATTGCACATGACGGCCACGTCCATCGCGATCGTGCCGCTGCTCGTCTACGTGTCGGGGTACATACCGAACCTCTATATTCTCTCGTGACTGTATCTCACACCAGAGTGTTTAGCTTCCTCGCCACGTTTCTGCTGCGGTGGATGAACGAAAAGATGGGTCGGGAAGGCACGTTCGCGGCGGGGGCGGCGCTCGTGTCAGTGTCGCTGGGCCTCACGTGGCTGCTCACGCCAGAAACCAGCGGGTGGATCTACCTCTTGTCGGTGCTGCTCGGACTCGGCAACTCGATCGTCATGGTCACGTCCGTGTGTCTCGAAGGCGATCTCGTCGGCGACAGCTGCGAAAGCGGCGCGTTCGTGTACGGCGCCATGAGTTTCACTGACAAAATCTCCAACGGCATCGCGGTGCTGTGGATCCAGAACCAACGAGAAGCCATTCAAGTGCAGTTTCCGTCGTCCACGGCGGAAGACGGCGAGTTTGTGCGACTCGCGTACTGTGTCGTACCCGCCGTCAGTGCTATCTTGGGCGCCATCACGCTGTACTACATGAAGCACGGCAGCAAGACGTTGGTGGACCGAGTGCCTGCTGCCAACGACAGCGAGAAGCAGAGCTTGTTGCAGAATGACACCGTTTACGGCACCGCCTGAGAGTAGCCCCTATCGTAGCTGTATGTACACGATAGAAGTTTGTATCCCGATTACTTGTGCGTCGAGTCGAGGAGCATGCTGGTCGGAACCCTGAGGGCACATCAACAGAAGTGAGGGGTTAAAGTTATCCGGATGTTGTCCACTGTTGGATGCTTTTATGCCAAGGGAAATCTTGTACCAGTATGATTTTAGAATGTAGAATTTGCTGTTGTTATGACAAAAAGTCATTTAAACGAGGGAATGTTTTTTCTCGAATGACCTTTGGCGTCGTTGGTTTGGAATGGATTTAACGTGTTTGCCGCTATTCAGACATTTTCCTTCAAATGAGCAAAAGCGCGGACGCAAACGACTACTCCCGCTTCAAGGACATTGTGGACTCGGACGAGGAGAAGGATGCCGCCGCGTCCACTTCGAAGAAGGCTGCCAATACTGCCGTGTCGTCGGCGTGCCGTAACTGCAGCAAGGCGGACGCGAAGCTGAAGTGCTCCATCTGTAAGAAGGCCACGTATTGCAATCGCCAGTGCCAGACGGGTGACTGGACCTACCATCGACGCATTTGCAAGAAACCCGAAGACAAAGCAAAGGCAGACGACGCTGCCCGTTCGAAGCCAAGGACCGTGGAAGGCGCCGCCGCTGCCGCTTCTGGCTCGTCTTCGTCGTCGTCCACATCGTCCAGAGCCACCACGAAAGCAACCAAGCCCGTCCGGCGGGACGTCGTCAAGGAAGATGAAGACCTCGAGAACGCGCGCGGGTACAAGAACGGCATGCCGTACTTCCATCGGGAACAGTCGGAGCATGAAAAGTCGCTTATTGGGGACATCGCACCCAAGAAGATCGAAGTCGAGCCCACGCTGGCCGCAGCTCCTTCCGCAACCCACGACGGATCGGCATGGAATACGGCGGGAACGTTCGAGCAACGCGATTTCACGACATGGGCCACCGTACGCCTACCAACCTCTCCATTCGTGATCTGACAAGTGTTGCTTAGGACCGATTGAAGGCGCTGCTGGGAAACGTGGAGGTGACGGCGCGGTCGTTTGCCATCCGCGGGGGGAACGTCAAGGACGTCAAGGGCGACGCGTCCGTGTGTGTCGTGCGGGGTAAGAAGCGGTTCCTGTTCGACTTTGAGTTCAACATCGAATGGACGGTCGTGGGCAAGGACGGGTACAACGGCAAGTTGCTCTGCCACGACATCAGCAACGATGGCGATTACGAGGTATGAGGTGCATCTAACTAGCACATGTTGGGATTCATATGGGTGTAGATTACGGTCCAGTACAAGAAGAAGCCATCGGATGCGTTGGAATTCAAAGAACTGGCGGCGGCCGTGAACGGACAAGCCGAAGGGTTCCGCCACGCGGTGCTGGCGCGAATCGCCACGTTCGTCACCGAGTACCAAGCGCTATAGTTAACCAAATCCACTACTACGTAGTAGTAGTACCGTGGTACTTAAGTATTAATACTAACTACGTCGTACAATTGATACTTTGTACGAATGGGGTGCCATAACTACGTACTGTACTATTACTATTACTATTAATAATACTATTAATAATACGTAGTATATTACTAAGTAGTTACTATTAGTAGTACTAGTACTCCAATTTGTGATGTTTCTTTCAATATACAAATGGCCAGTACTGTACGTATAGGTGAGGAGGTACTGTATTAAAACACGTCGAACTACTATTAATACTACTACTAGTACTCCGTACCCCCGCAGTATCTTAACTACTAGTACACTGTAATGTGTCGATGATAATCACGTGAACATTGTACTTGTACATACTCCACCACGTCTTGTACAGGAGGAATAAATGGCCACATACAGGAGTCTACCGGTACGACTGTAGGCTTTGGCCGATGATACGTAAGTACACTACGTACTGGCAGTAACCACGTCATATTCCATACATTCCCATTGAGGTGTTTGTTATGTAAGAAGACCAACTAGGACGAAGCCTTGACCCGCTTGACCTTTTTCCCGCCTTGTTTGAGCCCGAGGTCGTCCCTCTCTTCGGATTGTTTCGATTTGAACGCGAGTCGCAGATCATCCAGGGCGGCGTCCGTGACCGGCCACTTGGAAGCAGCCATCGCGTTTTGCCAGAAAAACACGCTCGTGTCAAACGATGCAATGCGATACCGCGTCGGGCGCATCTGCTGTTTGCCTTCGCAGTACCTAATGCACATATGTGTCAGGAGTACGTACTACCTCATTGGCAGGTACGTACCCGTGGTGCTTTTGAGACAGCAGCAGGTACTCCTTGTTGAACGGACTATTCTTGAGCAATTGCCATCCCTACACAGTTCGTTCGCCGTTATGGTCGTGGCTATTCTAGTACCTAATGAAAGTACCTCGGTATGTTCCCAAGCAGGAATAATCACAATGAAACTGAGGGCTTTGGTGGCATTTTGCAGGCATAACGTCATGTGCGATGCCATTTTCGCAATCAATGCAGGCACAAACGGCGGGTTTGCTTCAAAGCACCTACGGAAAACACCAGTTCGAACCATATTCGCAGACAGAATAGAACGACCAATCAAAACCCACAACACAAATCCAGTAGCCAATCAAATAATTCTCTCTCGCTGCATCGAATTCGTATGTGGCTTCTATGAGCACGTTATTTTACTTACAAAATTCAGTACAAACAATCGACCAAGAAGCACAAAAGTCCAAATGTGATATTGGCTAAGAAGATATTAATAAAGAAAAGAGAAAAACTTGAGGACATACATACCCCGAGGTGGGGTGGAAGTCGAAGAAGCTGCCAAAACTGCCAAACACTCTGTCAGTGTCTAGGAAGGCACTGCAGAAGCGGCCGTAGCGGCTGTTGAAAGGCGATGCAAAGCACTCCATATTGCAGTCAAAGTGCCGCAGCAGCACGTCAAAGCACTCTTCGTTCAGCGCAGCCTAGTTTGCCATACGAAACAATCTCAAACAATCGATTGTTGGCTACTTTCCTACCTGGAAGCCACCGCCGTCGAGAGACTCGTACCGCAACAACAGACAGAACAAGAAGTCTGGGAATGATTGAGTCGCCGCTTCCGCATGATGCCGGTCGAACAGCGTTTGCAGTTTATCCAAATGAGTCCGGTTGAGCCGTAAACTGGTGCCGCCGTAGCTCACGAGGTAGTGGTCTTCGTTGGGTCGGATGGTCGCGCGCTTCTTGCCGCCTCCATGGGCCAGACGCAGGAGGCTTTGGCCTACGCGATGCGCTTCCTGGGTCATGGCGCGGCACGTCTTGTTGGCGGCATGGCGGTTGGCGCCAATGGCCACGAGTTCGTCGCGTAGGCCGGCGTAGTCGCTGTCCGAGTGTGGAATCAACGGGTCACCCTACAAAAGCGACTGAGAGATAAGAGCGACGAACGACGAAACGTACGTCGGGAACAGCAAGTTTCGAGCAGAACTGCCACGTCTCGTATGCTGAATTGGGGAGCTTTGGCAGACCCATTTGCTCGACGGCCGCCGACAGCTTGGCTTTGAGCTTGAGCACGCACTTTTGACGGTGCAGCTCGTACGCAGGAGACACGTTTTGGAGGTTGCACGGACGGACTTTGTGTTCGGACGACCCAATGTGGCGCAACTCGATCTGGACGTCGGCGTTCCAAATCGCCGAGTTATCGCCTGGGGAGGATGCGCTCAGCACGTGCTTGCGCTTCTTGAGTGCAGATTTGCTTGCAGGAATGGACTCGGCCACCTTCACGGCCGACACGTTGCCCGTCTTGGCGGCCATCGAGTTCAAGATCGCGTCGATGTCGTCCATGTTGGCCAATCAATCAAATGATGTTGATCGTGTGGCGTTTCAATGGACCAATCACAGTCGAGAGGTGAAGGTGACATGATAAACTGACTATATTGAGCAATTTATGAGCACCAAATAAGGATATCTGCACCACTTTCGGAATATGGTGCACATGCATTTTCATATCCTTTCGGACAGAACAGCATGATGCTTCGTCTACGGGCGTCCACAGCCATGCGCGGTCTGCGCAAGTCAACCATCGCAGCTACAGGCTTGCCAACGTCTCGCCAACTGCACATGAAGATCTCTCCTGCAGTGAAGGAAGCCCTTCGTATTGGGACGCCGTTAGTGGCGTTGGAGTCCACGATCATCAGCCATGGCATGCCGTTCCCTCAAAACTATACGATGGCGACGGAGGTGGAAGCGCTCATTCGCGAGCATGGCGCGTGTCCAGCCACAATCGCCATCTTGGACGGTGAGATTTGTGTCGGGCTGTCCACGGAGCAGCTGCATACGCTTGCATCGTTCGGCAGCCAAGCTACGAAGTGCTCCACTCGAGACATTGCCGCCGTGGTGGCGAGGCGGGGCACGGGGGCCACGACTGTGTCCAGCACCATGTTTGTCTTCATTCATCCATCGTTCTTTCTCAAAAGGTGCATGTTCCTTGCAGGCGGATTGCGCATGCGGCGGGGATCTCGGTGTTTGTCACGGGCGGCATTGGCGGCGTCCATCGCTGCGTGGAAGACACGATGGGTACACAGCCTTTTCCCAATGTTTTACTTCATCACAATCGATCATGCATCCACTCGTAGACATCTCCACGGACCTCATGGAGCTGTCTCGCACGCCCGTGGCCGTGGTGTGCGCCGGCGTCAAGTCTATCCTCGATATCCCCCGGACCCTCGAATTTTTGGAAACTTATGTGAGAGTGCTCCTTCAATATTCTTCGAACGTTGCGCTTACACTGTCGCAGGCCGTTCCAGTCGTGGGGTACCAGACCCGCGCGTTCCCAGCGTTCTTTACCACGTCCAGCGGCGGCGCCCAAGCCCATATTCAGCTCAACACTCCGCAAGAAGTGGCCTCGCTCATCAAAACCAGCCAAGACCTAAACCTGCCCAATGGATTCCTCGTCGCAGTGCCCAACCCAGCGCCAGTCGACTCTGAATTGATCCACTCGGCCATCCAGGATGGGCTCCAAGAGTGCCGCGATGAGCACATTGCAGGCAACGCCGTTACGCCATTCCTCTTGAAGCGTGTGAATGGTATCATCTCTATATCCATGGATGGAATTGTTATATATATATATATGTATATCTAAATACATATATTTATATATATATATACGATAGAGCTGACACAGGGTGTGTCGTTGACGTCCAACATTGCGCTGGTCAAGAACAACGCCCTGGTGGGGGCCAAGGTACCTACTTAGTATATTTATTTTCTGAATATATATATATATAACACATACTACACACATATTTATTCTCCGAATATATATATATATAAAACACATACTACAGTATATTTATTCTCTGAATATATGTATGTACGAATAACTAGCCTCGTATCATAATATCTTCATTTTGCACTAGATCGCCGTGGCGTTGGCAGCGACTCTCTCTGCTGCTACCCCACCCCATACACCTGCATCATCATGTCGAGAAGCATCGTCTTCTTCGCATGCTTCCGCTCGTCCATCTCATTCCAGCACGCCAGACGTGGTGGTTGTGGGTGGAGCAGTGCTGGATGTGATCTCGAAGCCCACGACACAGTTCATACGTGGGACTTCCAACATTGGCCTCACCAAGCAGACATGGGGCGGTACGCTTCTTGTCTTGGGGCTCTCTATGAATATGGAATCATAATGATCATGTAGGCGTGGGGCGTAACGTAGCCGAGTGCTTGCATCGACTGGATGTGCCCGTGCTGCTCGTGTCCAACATCGGCAAGGATGCATGTGGCCACGGCCTTTTGCGCCAACTGGACAGCCTCCACATGGACCCATCGGGCGTGATATCCTCGTCAGCTCATGCCACTGCCACGTACTGCGCCGTGTTGAACTCTAGCGGCGATCTGGACGTGGCGATTGCCGATATGGCCATCCTACATGACCTTGAATGGGTACATACTATGTTAAGCTGGAAAAAGAGTAGATGGGAATGGCGCCATATATAATGTCTGTATGCACAGGACGACACGGCCGCCGCCAAGATGGACACGGCGCGCGTGGTGGTGTTTGATGGGAACCTGTCGCCGGCCAAGATGGCGCGGGTCACGCGACCGCCTCAGCCCAAGTCACTGAACCCGCGGCGGCTGTTGTGGTTTGAACCAACCTCCGTGGAGAAAGCAGTTCGAGTGACTGCAGTGTTGCATCGGGTGCATGTCGTGTCGCCCAACGTCGACGAACTGCGCGCCATGTGCGAGGCGTTGCCAAAGGACACTGGCCGAGTGGATCAAGGGCTGGCGGCGGCGGCGGCGCGGCTTCTTCCCGTGGACAATGGCCCCCAAGTCATACGCGATGTGGCCACGGGTATGGATGGATTGATTGCATGCATATATATGAGCTAGGAGGTTCTGGGGCGTTCGTTATGGAATGACGACTGTGGTATTTGCATGTATGGGGTATATGTAGTCGCGAGATGCATGCGTGGAGATAACGACGAAGGCGATGTGCATGTGGTGGTGACCATGGGGCGGCATGGAGTGCTCGTTGGAACGACGTCTGGTCATGTGAACGTTGCTGACGAACGCGATGCGACGTTGCTCGGCAAGGTTGGCGATCTGACGTATGTGTACCTGCCAGGGATTCCCATGGCGGTGGCTAATTGCACAGGAGCAGGTACGAACGAACATGGGAGGAATGCCACAGCGATGTGACAGACTGAATAGGCGACAGCTTTGTGGGCGGAGCGGTCTATGGACTGCTCCAGGGCTATGACATCGTCCGCAGCAGTAAGCTGGGTATGGTATGTTTGCATGTCTTTGCTACATACTTACGCATGGTCACGTCGACGGTAGATTGCCGCGCGAAAGAGCATTGGGTCCGAGTTTCCCATCCACCCCAACTTGTCCCCACACGACTTTGCCTGATTGATGTCAACCTAACTCAAACTCGTCACTCCATGCATGTGCTCCTGTTGAAACGTTCGCATCTACCTACCATACACATACATGGCACCCACCACCACTTGGACTGTCGGTGATTTCGGTGGACTTCAGCACATCCTGGAAATGGATACAGTTGAATGATTGGTGGATTGTATCCGGAATTTCATCGCTTTGGGGTATGATTGGCTGTAGTTATCCGGAAGAACGGTTAGCGTCCTTCACCAAAGACTTTGCTGTCTGCCCCGTCATGCACAGGCACTCATTTCGCATTTCGACTTGTCGTCGGATCACGTCATCTCTCTGGACATCGTCAGCGCCGTCTCGCCGTCAAAGCAGCAGCAGCCGCGCCAACATGTCTTCTGTCAACTACCACGTAGTGGGGTGGAAACAATGTACGTCCCGAATCCTCCCACGATTGCAACGAGCTCGAGAGGGGGTGATATATGTGCACATGTAGGCCCGTACTACGTCAAGGCGGCAAGCGTCGCGTCGTCGATGCAGCATTTGTTTCCGTCGCAAGTCAAGGCCACGATCCATGAACATCCGAACAAGGAGTCGTTTGTGAACTGGCTGAACGAATCGCAAACGGAGTTTGCCCACCAATTCGACAACGACGCGCGCCCGTTGAAGCACAAGTCGTCGCCGTTTTGCTACTTGGAACAGGACGATACCCCTAAGTTTGTCGGTGGGTGCGACGACACCCTCGCGTTCTTCCGCGCTCGCACGCAAAGTGCCCCGTCTGCTCCCGCCTCATCTGCGTCGATCCATGCGAACGACACGTCGGATGCCGACGTCAAGTACGACTGGGACTTGGTCGTGATCGGCGGCGGGTCTGGCGGTCTCGCGTGCTCGAAGGAAGCATCCAAGCTCGGCCAGAAGGTGCTCGTGCTGGACTACGTCAAGCCTTCCCCTGTCGGGTCGACGTGGGGCCTTGGCGGGACCTGCGTGAACGTCGGGTGCATCCCGAAAAAGCTGATGCACCAGAGCTCCATCATTGGCGAAATTCTGCACAAAGATGCCGACCAATTTGGCTGGAGCGTGTCGAACGCGACGTTTGATTGGTCAAAATTAGTGTCATCTGTTCAAGACTACATTCACGGGTTGAACTTCAAGTACCGCGTGGATTTGCGCGACAAGAAGGTCAAGTATGAAAACATGCTGGGGACGTTCAAGGACGCGCACACGTTGACCTTGACCAACGACGCCAAGAAGAAGGGCCCTACGGACGTGACGTTTCGCCGCGCCGTGATCGCCGTGGGCGGCCGCCCCAAGCCATTGAGCTGCCCGGGATGGGAGCATGCGCTGTCGAGCGACGATATCTTCTCCAAGCCAGACGCTCCGGGCAAGACGTTGGTCGTGGGGGCGTCGTACGTGGCGTTGGAGTGCGCGGGGTTCTTGAAGGGCCAAGGGTTTGACGTCACCATCATGGTGCGTTCCATCTTACTGCGCGGGTTTGACCAAGACATTGCGCGCCGCATCGGCGAGTACATGGAGTCGGAGAGCGGCATCGCGTTCATCAAGGAGTCGGTGCCCACGTCCATCGTAAAGCTCGAAAACGGGCAGTTCCAGGTCACGCACACCACAGGCCAAGACGTGTACGACACGATTCTCAACGCCACGGGTCGATCTCCAGACGTGCAAAAGCTCAACTTGGACGCGGCGGGCGTGGCCTTGAACCCCAAGTCTGGCCGCATCCACGTAGTTAACGAGCAGACGTCCACGCCCAACATTTACGCGCTGGGGGACGTGATCGACGCGCCGGAACTCACGCCCGTGGCCATCCAGGCGGGCAAGCTGCTGTCCCGTCGGCTGTTTGGCAACGGCACGACGCTGATGGACTACACCAAGATCTGCACGGCCGTGTTTACGCCGGTCGAGTACGGGTGCTGTGGGTTGTCGGAGGAGGATGCGATTGCAAGCGCCGGCCGGGAAAACGTCGAGGTGTACCACCAGAACTTTACGCCGCTCGAGTGGAGCTTGTCGCATGATCGTCCGCTGGCCAAGGAGTGCTACGCCAAGCTGATTGTCGACACGACGCAGCAGAAGCGCGTACTTGGGTTCCATTACTTGGGCCCGAATGCCGGCGAAGTCACGCAGGCGATTGGGATTGCGATCAAGCTCAACGCCACGTACGACGACTTTATCAACACTGTGGGTATCCACCCTACGACGGCCGAGATCTTTACGACGCTGGAAATCACCAAGGAAAGCGGGGTCGACGCGTCGGCGTCGGGCTGCTGAGGCTAAGCCCCTTCTTTGCCGCTGCCTGTTGAGATGATGATATGCGGATCGACAGGCAGCGGAAGAAGGGAGAGGAAGCCCCTCGTGTGCGTACAAATGGTGTGGAAAGCTGCTGCTGTTGTGTGGAGCGGGAAATAGATGAAGCGGGGACAACATGCTTTGATGGACCTGGCGACGGAGAAATCCCGTGACGTGGCAAGTTGTGGTCGCATGACGTTTGCTTTTGGAAGCCCTCACTCGGGGTGAAAGCAAACCGACAGACGACAACGCGGCATAGTCGGGAGCTGCACTGAGTAACTAGTTGGTGCAGCTCATGTGGCTGGCTGCCGGAAGGAGTTGAAGCACACTGTATAAGTTGAATAATGAACAAGTGATTTTGACTTTTCATGACGCGGTGGGCGTCACAGATTGCCGGCGATGATTTTGACCAATGAAACGGCGATTCCAGAATCGACAATTTGGATTGGACACCTGAAAAACGTCAAAACTGGAGTGACGACGTGTCGTTGGAGCAACTAATGATACTTTTTTTGATACTTTACTACCAACTACTGTATTGGATTACTTTATGCTACTACGGTGTAATGATACTTGTTTTGATACTTTAGCTTGTGCCGTCGATTCTCGCTGGGGCATAAAGGACCGATGTACTTCAAAGTATAACGTTAATAGTTTCGATACCTACTGTACTATTGCATGCCTCCAGTACATATTGTGTGTTCTACTCATAGCCAATCATATTGCAACATTCATTCTTTGTAGCCAATCATATTCATTTTCTCGATTAGTTGGCGATTGCATCAATCCCCGAAAATAGGCAAATTTGACTGAAAAGCACAATATCGCTGGAAAGAAAATGTCAATTTATATTGTCGATTTGATACAAATTTGGGGAAGGGGTGCAATCGAATCGCGCCGACCAAACCGATCCACAATCGATCTGATTGGTTGAATTTCATTGAGAAGGTTTTTATTGGCTAATAATTTTGAGGTAGCCAATCAAATCGATTTAAATTCCAACGAGAAACCACACTACAACACGAAATTTCACTCGAAAGCACAAGAATCTCTCGTACTTTGACGTAAAAACTAGTCATTGATGGATTTCGACCAATCATCATGGGATAGGCATCGTAAGTATACAAATGCCAAGTATAAATCCACCGGGGGGATTGTCGCAAAGAAACACTCGCACTTGCCATGGAAGTTTGCATGAGCATTTTTCAATTCGACTGAAAGTACGCACAACATCAAACATGGCTCGCAAATACGTGATCGGCGGCAACTGGAAGAGCGTACGTGGACTGTTGGCGACGACGGATGGGATGTGAACTCATGGAGGCTGTGTCATGTAGAACGGAACCCAAGCGTCGGTGGCGTCGCTCATTGAAATGCTCAACGGCGTGACCGTGGACACCGAGTCCGTTGAAGTCGTGATTGCTCCCCCGGCGATCTTCCTTGCCACCGCGAAAGCGAACCTCAAGCCCGAAATCCAAGTGAGCGCCCAAAACGTGAGCCTCACCGGCCTCGGAGCATACACGGGAGAAATCGCCGCCGAACATCTCGTTGGTACACCACTTCGCCTATGCCTTCCCCTGTTTCACGATTCGATCTAATTTTTTTCGTAGATTTGGGAGTGCAATGGACGTTGACCGGGCACTCGGAACGCCGCGCGTTGTACGGCGAAACCGACTTTGTCGTGGCCGAAAAGACCAAGCGCGCGTTGGACCACGGGTTGAACGTGATTTTGTGCGTGGGTGAATCGCTCGATGAACGCAAGTCGGATCAGACGCTGAACGTGATCACGCGCCAGCTCAAGGCCGTGGCCGACCTTCTCGTGAACGACTTAAGTTTGTGGAGCCGTGTTGTCGTCGCGTACGAACCCGTGTGGGCGATTGGCACGGGCGTGGTCGCCACCCCGGAGCAGGCCCAAGACGCACACAAGAACCTCCGGGCGTACGTCACCAGCCACATCAACCCCGAAGTGGCGAGCGAACTGCGCATCATTTACGGCGGCTCGGTAAACGCCAAGAACTCGGCCGAGCTCATTGCGTTGCACGACGTGGACGGCTTCCTCGTCGGCGGTGCTTCCCTCAAGCCCGAATTCGTCGACATCATTCAAAGCGCGCAATAAATAGACAATTTAATCAACCCACCAACATTCTTTCCCAAATACTATTAATCAACCCAACCCCGTGAATTATGGTTATCATAAGTATCCGGCCTTATTCACCACTCTTGTGTGCATCTATCTCTCCACATTATCACAGGTGGGCTAATATATCTTGGGCTAATATATTTTGGGCTAATATATTTGTGGGCTAATATATTTTGGGCAAATATATTTGTGTGATAAAAGTAGATAGTATTAGAAAGTTGGTCAAGAGACTGTCATTTCATTCGACGACGTGTTCTTCTTGATCGTCGTCGTCGTCGTCCGTGTCGACGGCCGTGGCACCACCATGTCGAGGGAGGGCTGTCGCTTTCGATCGGCTACATACATCAAACGAATGAATTATATTAATATATATACATAATATAATATAATATACTTCCATAATATTATATAATATGTTTACATAATATATTTACATAATATAATATAATATATTTACATAATATAATATAATATATTTACATAATATAATATAATATAATATAATATATATACATAATATAATATACATAATATAATGTAATATAATATATAGTCATACATAATATAATATATATCAGCACAGAAACGACATGAAATGAACGTACTTGGCGATCAGCACCTCCATGTCGACATCGCGCTCCAAGTTTCCGACGCGTTTTCGGCATCCTGTATATCCCGAGGTGAAGGATCCCTTAGGAGAAGAAGCGAAGCGCGGACGCACGTACCCGCGACGGGGCAGCTTTGCTTGTGTTTCAAGTGGCTTTCGATCCCCACTCGTGAATACGTATGCCCACAGTCGAGACTATGCACGACATGCAATCGTCAGGCACACAACATGCAGCCGTCATAAGGACTAAACTTACTTGCGCATAGGTTCGGTCATGAGCATTTGGGTGATCGGACACGACATGCTGCGTACGCTGTTTGATTCCTGCACCATCACATCCTCGTCGTCTTCGTCTTCGCGTTCGATCTACACACAGGAGGGCTCATTATGGGGAGACTGACGGACGTACCCCCGCGGCGGCATCGAACTGCTTGATGTACTCGTGCTTGCTCAACACGTCGTCGGCCACGTGGAACGCCGACATGTCCAGCAGTCCGTTGAACGACTGGGGGCCTGGACCGGCTTGCAGCGTGCGTTCAAGATCCGTCAGTTTCGAGTCGAATGCACCAATGTGTCCGTTGATCAACGCGTACTCCTTCGTGAGTTGCTTCAGTCGGTCCACCAGTGGCATCGAGTGCTCCTTGGCCAGTGGCGCCAGATTTCGAGCGGCTGTCACGCCTTCGATGGTATGCTTCATGAGGTCGTGCTTCTGCTTCTTCGCGTTGGACACGCACATACGTAGGGCACCGGGGATCGCCTGTTGGACTTCCACTTCGATCTGGCGCTTCCAGTCTTCTATCGTGGGGGCTCTCGGCTGTTCCACATCTTCGTCGTCTTCACCTGAGGCATCATCGCCGTCGTCGGGACTCCCATGACTCTCAGCTTTCACCGGTGCCTTGCGCTTGCCGTCTCGCGCCATTTTCAGAGCAAACGGGTGGGAATATCACTGTGGCCAATCAAAGGCCGTTTTGAGTTATATTTTGACCAATCAGCAATTGATTCTACAAGCATCGTCAATCATACTGTACGTATTCCAAGCATGTCATAATGCTAAGCGTTCATAACGACATCTATTGTAGTGCTCTGCAAAAGGAGATGGACAGCATGTGCACGGACGCTGCATTTAGGTGCGTACGCGACGTGGAAGTGAGCACCTGTCATCTAGCACTTACTAGTACTTGGACGTAGTATTCAGTAGTTGATTGGATAAAAAGATCGTAACAAAGTGATCGGATTGGATATAATAATGTCAGACAGTTGATTGGATGATTAGGGAACAATTTGCAATCGGAATGTTTCGCGCAGTGTGCTGCCGCATTGGCGGAGGGGCGGCAGTCATTGGGCGTTCATCCGTGAGAAGCGTCCATATCACTGGGAACCAGGTGCGCCCTGGTGTGGCTATTGAGGTTGATGGGAAGCTCTACCGTGTGGTCAAGAGTCAGTCGGTGAAACCTGGGAAAGGTGTGGCGTACATGCAAGCTGAACTCAAGGAGATCACGACGGGCCACAAGATCAACCGTCGCTTCCGGTCGTCTGAGTCTGTCAAGAAGGCGCCGCTGACCAAGGACAGGCCGTTCCAGTTCCTGTACAATGACGGAAACAAGCTCGTGTTGATGGAACCGTCCACGTTTGAACAGGTGAGCGCGAGGAGGCAGCCCATGAGAGTCAGTCTCACATGTTGATGTAGCTAGAAGTGGGGACAGATATCCTGCAAGACAACCAGCTCAAGTACTTGAGCGAAGGCACTTTGGTGACCCTTCAAATTGTCGACGGGGTGCCTCTGTGGATGAATTTGCCCGATCATGTTGTCCATGTGGTCGAAGTACGACGATGCATTTACTGTATCATCTCATCACAGAGTTGACTTTGCCTTAACTTTATGTGCCTAGAAAACAACGGCTGGCGCTGGGAACGGCAAAGAAGCTACGCTGGCCAACGGCACCGAAGTCCAAGTACCTGGCTCCATCGAAGTGGGCGATTCCATCAAGATTTCATCCGACACGGGCCTTTTCGTGGAAAAAGTGGCTCTTTAACTAGACTATGCACATGTTGTTCACTTGTACTAGTAATGAGCGAAATCATCAACAAAAGTCGATCCGTGAATTGTGAATTCGCTAGAAACTACTTCCAAAATTCGCGTACTAATCAATTTTGAATCACGCTAGAGTTGTGATTGGTTGAATATACTTGTCCATTCTGTTAAGAGCCAATCAAATCCACTCAAAATTGGATTCGGCGGCGAGATTCGATTCAACGGGGTTTGAATCCACAATAGTACCACAGTTATTCATATGTGTGTCGCGTATTCGCGTCTTACGAGTACACATGGTGTTGTATTTGACATCGAAACTGTCCATGTTGTTATGTAATGCCTGCCATGGATACCCCAATTTGTATTTCTCTAAACAATGAAAAATTGCGATATGTATATAAGGTTAATCGTGATATTTTTAGGTGATTGTGTCCAGCGCCTCGAACTACTTCTTCGCCATCGTTGCATTCGTATGGGGGGCCGATGTCATGTTGTTCGAAGTGTATAACCAATCCAATCGTTGCTATATCTGTGTGTTGAAAATTGTGTTGGAGCAGCCGGTGAAATGGTTGGCTGTGGGCCGTCGGTTTTGTTTCGTATGTTTTGAAATGCATGGCTGCAAATCGTCGCTGGCCCCCCGCTACCAAGCCCCAGAAACAAACCCATCATTTCATTTCTATTCTTCGTGACTCTATGCATATTGATGGTACTTGGAATTGAAGATTTCAAAGACTCGATTGAGAAGTTTCTTGTCGAATATGCACCCAGTGTCCTCCACACTGAGTGAGCCCTGTGGAATCGACCGTTCGCAGCAAATGTCAAGGAATTGTGATAGGTCCAGTTGTACGTGGCAATCAGCGTCACTCGACTCGTCGACACAACAGAGAGCCCTTCGTACTAGTGGAGTCGATGTCGAGTGGAAGACTACTAAGTATCGATACCAACAGCTAGACCCACAGACGCGGCATGTATGGTATATGTACCTGTTCAAGAAGTGCTTCCTTGTGAATCATCTGGATAATATCCGGAGGTGCCCTCTCCTTGGCCAAGTCAACCAGAGAAGTACCTCGTCTTGACTAACTTCAAAGCGTTTCGACAGCTTGACTTGGCCTACAATCTGCCTGGAAGTGGCAACAACTACGAAAACACTGATAGCTAGCTACTCAATCCATGCAAAACTGTGGCTTGTATTGTAGTCAGGGCCACTCAAAAAGATGTCAGGAAAGACCTCTTTTGCAAATTTTCAGAAATATTTTGGCAATTTTTCAAACGACAGCTTTTGTGTGTTTGGCTACCAAATCTGACATATATTATAAATGGACATAATACGTCGAATGTTTACTGTTTTCCGACAGAAAGAGGTTCCAACACTGCAGCAACATGGTACTAGTATTCCAGCAATCGTTCTCATTCCATCATGGCATCGAAAGATCCAAATATTTCCCAAATATTTTCTCACCTCCTATTTGAAAAGGGAATGCTCGGTCAGAATATTATTTCGACATCAACTTTTTGTGGCATCCAGACTCAGCCTTAATAGAATATAAGAAAAAACGCATCATAGCAGTAAATTGACTTGAAGTTTGTATTGAGCGTTGTACTTCGTAAACATGTGGACTTGTAGTGGAGGGTTACTGCTTTGTAGACGCTACGATTATTGTGGAACTACCAGATAAAACTAGATGCGGTCGGTGACCAGAGGAAGGGAAAAATATATTCTCGACAAGAGTTGTTTATTTATTCAAATAGAAGAATTTATTCTGAAAAGACCTAGTCGAAGAATAAGTCATCCAAGGACAGCTTCAGTTGTGCCTGAAGAAATAACATAATAATGCACTTTGTGAAGACTCGATATTCATCGATATTCAGGGGTTACATACAGTATTGTTGAATTAATCACTATCAATAAATTATTCATTCGGACTGGCTGAAAGAATTATTTATTCTGTGTCAAGTTAGAATAAATAAGAAATCCTGGTTCGTCACAAATAAGTATAATCATCATTTCTTTTACTGAAATAAATGTAAATACTATATTCCCTACCTTTGTTGGAGACTGCTCCGTCCAGGCAGCATCGAGGAGTACCATAAATAAATTCTATTACGTAGTAATACAACAAAGGAATGTCGAAGGAGCGCAATAATCACAGCATCCATCATCGTAGCATGCACCCAACGCAAGACCATCCAACACATGGGAATCAAACGAACTGAACAACTATGCATTAAGTTTTATGCCAAGTTTGAATGGGGCGGGGCCGTCGGAGGCGAAATGTGCGGCCAACTCGACGGGTTGAGCACTTCGCCCCAGAAGTCCGGCGTCTTGTCCGCCGTGTCATCGTCCGTGTCGTCTGCAGTCGCCTTCGGGGAGGTCTTGCTACGGCTATGGAACCGCTTGCCTAGCTGGTCCGACGGGCCGACCGTTATCTCGGCCACGGTGGGCAGCACGTGCGCCAGTCGTTGCTGTCGCCAGAGCCGCACGTCCTCGCCGTGGAAGGGCACGGACTTGTACCCAACGACTGTCGAGTTGATTGCAGCGTACCGATGTCGAACGGGAAATGTCTTGAGAAGGTCGGCTTCGTCGGTGGTGGCATGCTGCACATCGCCTTCGTCGTCGTCGACGACTTCTGTGGGGGCAACGCCCAGGTCTTCTTGATCGTGGCCATCACTATGTTCACCAAACACGGCAGTGGGGGCAAATCCCAGGTCTTCTTGGTCGTGGCCGTCACTATGTTCACCAAACACGGCAGTGGCGACGTTGGATGGGGGCGGGGTCGTCGGAGGCGAAATGTGCGGCCAACTCGACGGGTTGAGCACTTCGCCCCAGAAGTCCGGCGTCTTGTCCGCCGTGTCATCGTCCGTGTCGTCTGCAGTCGCCTTCGGGGAGGTCTTGCTACGGCTATGGAACCGCTTGCCTAGCTGGTCCGACGGGCCGACCGTATTCTCGGCCACGGTGGGCAGCACGTGCGCCAGTCGTTGCTGTCGCCAGAGCCGCACGTCCTCGCCGTGGAAGGGCACGGACTTGTACCCAACGACTGTCGAGTTGATTGCAGCGTACCGATGTCGAACGGGAAATGTCTTGAGAAGGTCGGCTTCGTCGGTGGTGGCATGCTGCACATCGCCTTCGTCGTCGTCGACGACTTCTGTGGGGGCAACGCCCAGGTCTTCTTGATCGTGGCCATCACTATGTTCACCAAACACGGCAGTGGGGGAAAATCCCAGGTCTTCTTGGTCGTGGCCGTCACTATGTTCACCAAACACGGCAGTGGCGACGTTGGATAGGGGCGGGGTCGTCGGAGGCGAAATGTGCGGCCAACTCGACGGGTTGAGCACTTCGC